GCTCCTGCTTGTGGCAGGGGGGTGGGTGGGGGGGTGCCCCCAAGGGCTGGTCGACCAGCTGCCTGGGGAACTGGCCTGCATTCTCTTTCCACTGACGGGGTGCCTGGGGGCAGCCAGCCAGCCTCTCTGATCTGCTCTCCCACCCTCCGACAGGCACCCCTAAATGAGGTGGGACCCTGAAAAATAGAACCCTGAGCTGGGCACCCAGATGTCATGAAGAGGTGGAAGAAATGTGACCTAAAGATTGTGCTCAGAAGTTATTACTGGCAGACATGGGAGTTTATCTCTGTTTGCCCAGTAGCTACCCCAACTCCCTACTGGCTACGATATGTATATGGGGGTGTGGCATAGGGAGGAGATGATGGGGGAGACTTTAGTGTTCAGACTACTCAGCTTCCAGAGAGGTAATCATGCGTCCCTTCTTCCCAGTTTTGTTACACCTGTCTCCCTTCTCAGTCTTTCCCCTCACCTTCATTCTCACCTGCCCTTTGCCAGGCCTGCTGGGCACTGAGGATGCAGCAGGGAGTAAGGTAAGTGCCTGACCTGGAGGAAGTTCTACTCTAGGAGGAGAGACAGCAGTTACAATAGGGGGTGATCAGGTACACCTGAGCTGGGTCTCGGGATGGGGGGAGGGAGGTGAGTAGGTTTGGGGAGACAGGTGTACCTGAGTCAGCTCCAGTCCAGAGCACAGCTGCCCACTTTACCTTGTCCTGGGGCCTCACTGGGCATGTCATTCCTAGTGCCTGGAAACTGCACCCTGGAGAGAAGGTGGGAGAGTCAATCTCCTACCCTTTGTGGAAATTCCTTCCTTCCTGGCTGGGTGCTAAGAGCATCTTTGGGAGGAGAACATGGAAACTCTCCCCACCTTGTATGAACCGAGCCTAAGGAGGACTTTTGAGACCCATAAAGGACCATCCTTTGGCCCTACTTCACTTACACCACTTTTGCAGACAGCAACCAAACTGTCTTTGACTGATGGCTCCACCTGGTGACCATGTAGAGCATTGCCTGACCCAATGCTTTGGTCCACTCCATCTTCTCTCTGCTCCAGTCTCCCTTTCTTCCTGCTGCTTGAGCACTTCAACTAATTCCAGTTACTTACAGATCAGGACAACTATTCCTTATGCCCCTTCCTCCTTCCAGAGGGAAGGGAAAAGGAACTCAAGCAGCCCAGGGACTGAGCAGTGGACTAGTCTCTCTTAGCTGTGTCCTACCAGTACCAGCCTCAGCACCAGGAGGGGCTGTCCTGTGTCTCTCTGGCAGTTCCTGCCTCAGCCTATTATTCTGGAAGTTAGGATGGGGATAGTAGCAGGGGGCAAGCCTTGGTGGTGTTATGTGGCCATAGCCTCTTTGTCCAGGTCACCTGGGGAGACATGGGGGAAATCTGGCCTCTGGGGCTCCAGAGGCGCTACAGTCCCATCAGCCCTACGTGCTCTCTGGGTGGAAACTCTTGGAACCCCTGTACAGTCTAGGGCCAGGGATTTGGGAGGCCAAAGTTCCACTGCCTTTACAGGTTGAAATAAGATTAAGGGTAATCCACCCCGGGGTGAGGGAGAGATAAAGGAAGGAAGAAAAGACCTGTTTTGTGAGTGCTCAGCTCCCAGCTTCAGAGTACTAGAGAAGACCCCGAAGTAGACACATGGAAACAGAAAGGGTTTATTTACACAGGGAGTGAGGAAAAGGGAGAGGTGAGAGAAAAAGGAAAAGAAATTTATAGGCCCATGGGTGGTCCAATGCCTCTGGCCTACCCCAGGGAATGTTCACTGAGTAGAAAATCTGACTGCAAAGGGAGATGCCTGTAGTGAAAAAGGATCCCTGTTTGGGCTCCATCTTTGCAACGTCAACATGGCGGCTCTGCTCCGCCCCCAGTTCCCAGCATCCCCTGTTACTGAAGTCAGGGCGTGGAGCGCAGGGGGCTACCTGTGTGTTACCCACATCTGGGAGGCTGCTCCTATAGTGGTACCACCTCTGACTTGCAGCTCTCCCAGCCCCATGCGGGAGGTATACAGGTGACACGGGGTGGGGGGACAATAGGAGGCTCTGGGGGGGGAACTTGGCATAAGGACACATTCCCCTACACTTGACTGACAGCAATTGTCAAAGGAATTTCTTCAACATCTAGATTCCCCAGGAACAGTGAATTTAGCAGGTCTGGGGAGGGGCTGGGAAAGCTGTATTTTTAGTAAACTCTTCAGGGGATTCTCATGCTGAAGCAAGTTTAGAAAATCAACTTGGCGAGTAACTTCTCTGAGCCACATAAAATTAACAATACAATTCTTCAGGGAAAGTTAATGGGAGGAGGCGTGATTAAGGACTTACACTGCAGCTAGAAGATTGAGTGCCTGCTTCTCTTTCTTTCTAGTTCTTTCTTACTAGGACTGCTATCACTGCCACCACTACTGTTTACTCTTGGCCTGGACTCTGGCACAGAGGCAGGTGACGGCCTGGAGATTCACCTTTCTCTGGGCAGGGTGGGGCTGGGCTGTGGAGATTCCAGATAATGGTTTCAAGGCCTAGGACATGCAGGAATAGCAGGGCCCCAACTCAGCTCCCTTGGGCCTTTGACATTCTGCTGGCTACCTGGTTCCAGTCACATCTGCCCACCTGGGAGACTGACACCTGGGCTGCCCACCTGGGTAACTGAGACCTGAGGGGTACCTACTCCAAAGTGGGGACAGGGTCAGCCTGAAGACTCTACCCTCTGAGAGTCACGGAATTGGATGGGCTCTAACCCCATGGAGTTAGAGCTTCCTGGCCCTGTGAGTTAGAAGAGATGATTATGGCTGTTGATAAACACCTCGGGGACTCCCCTTCCCACTTACCTGGTGAGAACAGCCCAGCTGTTAAGTTGTTTTTCATTATTAAGCAAGGTGAAGACAGCCAACCTTTGGCCAAGCTCCCCCCAAGTGAGAGGAAGCAGACTTGTTTGCAGTGTGGGAGGAAGGGCAGCGGGAGGAGAATGGGCCTTGGGTGCTCAGGAGGGAGGCCCACCCTCAATTTTGGAGATAGTGGGCCTCAATCATTGACCCTGAAGAGATGTTAAATATTAATTACAAACAGATAAGAGTGCTGCCACCTGGTGCCGGAGGGGGTGGGAGGACTGAGGAAGTGGGGCCGCGTATCTGGGTGAGGAAAAGGACACCCAGAAGGATGGACTTTGATCCGGTTTCTCAGCAATGTTCAGAAAGGGCTTTGGGATGGGAGAGTGATGGGGAGCTTGCCCCTCAGGGACCCCACTGTGGACCTCCCCTACTTATGCCCCATTAGTCACATTCTCGGGGAGTCAAAACCAGTGTGGAGTTCCTGCTCTCTCTCCTTTTTAAACTTTTATTTTTTTTTCATTTTCTTTTTATTTATATATATTTTTACATCATTGTTCATTCTTAAACAATGTTTGCTTACCCGCACCCCCCCCCCAGGTGTAGCCCCCACAGAATTTCCTTCACCAATGCACCCATTCTTTCTCTTGATGAGGACAAAAAGAACTAGGGATAAGCTCCCATCCTGTCATGGCCTCCAGGGACCCTGGGTGAGGCCCTTCTCTTTGTGCCTCCTCCTCGTAGGAGTTATTTGAGACGCAAGTGGTACAAAGAACTGGGCCAACTCCGAAAGCACAGAGCAAGGGACTCCTTTGGTAGAAGGAGACTGAGGGGCAGGAACTCAAGGTAGGAGGATCACAGAGTCTGGTGTGCGTGGAGGAGGCAGCCCTGGGAATTCTACGCGGGGAGGCCCTGTGGGAATGGTGCCTCCCAACACAGTCTCTGTCTACAGCCTCAGGGAGAAGGCCCCATTTTTGTCTGTGCCCTGTTACCAGGAAGCTCTGCCGCCCCCACCCTTGGCCTCTCTTAGAACAACCTGGTCCAGCTCCTGGAACAATCCTGAGGATATCAGGACAGTGAGCCCCTGAAACAAAGCCTGATCTGCTGCCAACCTGAACTGGGGGTGGGGGTTGGGACAGAGAGTGGGTCACACCCTTGGGCTGCCCCATTAAAAAAATCACAACAGGAAATTGTTACCATTTATTGGGTACTGCCCATGTCCCAGGCACTGGGCAGTTACAGATATTTCACTTCCTCCTCACTGCAGTGCTGTGGTAGGTGTTAGCATCCCCATTTTACAGAGAAGGAAACTGAGGTTTCAAGCAGGGATTTGTTTGCTAGAAGTCACACAGTCGTAAGTGGAATTTGAACCCAGATGGGTTGAACCCAAGGCTGAGTTTGCAGAGTTGTGAAATATAGTTTGTGCCTGTGTCTCCTTCTGGGGCTACATGGCCCCATATTCCTTTCAACCCCTCGTTCTCAGGGTAGGGTCTGAAAGTTCTATCTGTTCTCCCTCCCTGCACTACCCTCAGGGTAAAGCCTGTATAGAGAAAGGAAGTTGAAACAGTGCAGTTTCAGGCAGTAACCCTGATCGGGAATGAGCCCCAGGCCACACCCCTCCCTGGCGTCTTGCCACTGTGCTCCTTTTGGCCTTTTGGAGGAAGTGCAGGTTGTTCAGGTCCTGCCTAGCCTGCTTCGCGGTGTCCTTTTCCAGCTCCTTCTCCCACCTTTAGGGAATCACAGAGGAGGCAGAGACCTCACTCTCCTTCAAACCAGATTATGAAACCTGCTAGGAGTGGGGTGCAGAGAGGTAGGTTCCTCAAGAACTTTGAGTTAGCGTCTTAGGAGCTGGGTGCCCGGATCTCCGGGAAGTCGCCCTGCATTGATTCCTGCACTCTGACTCCTGTCCTGCCCTGCCCTCCAGAGCTCTGCGTATACACGTTGCCTGCACATGATGCACACGTGTCAACTCCTCTGCCTGGACTCCTCCTCATGCCTTTTTGCTCCAGAGGGAGCTCACCCACGGCAGGGCCCAGCGCCCTCCTTCCTTTGGTTTCCTCAAAGGCGACTACTGAGAGCTAGGTTGCAGCGTGAGCAGCGCTTTGGGGTGTAGGAGTGACGCTGAGGATGTGAGGCTGGGTGGGGACTGGGTGGAAGCCCCAGGCCTGGCCTGGCCTTTACTCAGGACTCCCACTGCACGGTCAGGCCTCTGAAGAGAGAGTGCAGTTCTGTGGGCTGCTCCAGGTCTGCGGCCTGAGTGGCTGGGTTGGTGGCCTCAGTCTCAGACACTGGACCCTCATCCTCGGGACACACTAGGGACTCCAGCATGCCCCAGGGACTTGGACCCTGGTCCGTGGGGGAACGTGGGATGGAAGGCATGTGCACGGGGAGGGACACAGGGTGGCCTTCTATCTGGACAGAGGAGAGGAGGGGCAGCTGGGCCTTGAGGTACCCTGGTGTCCCAGGGTCTCCTCTCTGTGGCACGTTTGGGTCAGTATGAATCCCCAGATGCTGATGGAAACATTTTGTTTCTTGGGGCTCCCCTGTAGCCAAGGAGGTCACCCCCTGCAGAGAAAAGCCACCTGGGACACTGTTTCCATCTAGTGCCTCCTTCTGGAGCTGACCTTTAGGCTTGAGGTGTTTGGGACTAGAGAGTGTCATGGGTGGGGAGTCTTTGCCAGCACCTTCCATGCAAATCCCGTAGGAAGGCAGCCAGCTGTCCTGAGTGGCTTGAGGGGTATAGGAGTGGGGCTGGACCTCAGAGATGGCCTGTGGTGTATAGAATAGGGGTTTAGCTTCAGGGGTTACCTGAGGTGCATAAGATGGGAGCTTGACCTCAGCAGCAACCTGTGGGGCATAGGACAGGGAGGGCAGTGTCTGGGGAGGTGGAGCTCTGGAGGACTGGCGGGCGATGTCTGGCTGCCCGAGGTAGGTGATCCCAGGCTGGCTGTGCGGCGATGGGGCTCCCTGGGGCTCCTTGGGCTGGGACACCATGACTTGGGAATACTGGACCGTCTGGGCCACACTGCTGGGCCTGCTGATCTCAAAGATGGGGATGAGCACATGCTCCTTCTGGATCAGCTGCAGAGGCTGGAAGGTCAGCACGCGCGGGATGTTCTGTGCAGGGAAAGAAATCCCGCCTGGTTAGGGCCGGGCGAAGCTCCCCAGCGTACCATGGTGGCGAATCCTCCCTGGTGGGGGGTAGACCCTGTGGGTTGTTTTCAAGATGCCTATGTCCCACGTCCCCTGCACTTCCCAGGGAGTCCTCTCAATCCGGGGCTTTGAGAGGGACGGCTCCCAGCCGTCTAGATGAGGACGGCTTCTGAAGTCTGGGTTATCCCAGGGAGAGATTTAGGTAATGGTTCCTCGAGGAGGCAGATCATCCAGGAAGCAGTCTCAGATTTGGGGGTGTCTCGGGGTAGGGCTCGAGGCGGTGGTCCACACTGCTTGTGGTCCCTGAGGCCCTGATGTAGGCGGGAATGTGGGGCAGGGTGGGAGGAGCAAGAGGAGGCAGAGAGAGTCTTATAGGAAATGAGTTGCTGGGCTTTGACATTGACTGAAATCCCCCGGGCTCTCTGCAGGGTGAGGGTCAGCTCCCCAAGCCTCAGACAGCTCTGTCTGGGGCTCCGGAAGCTTAAGGAGAGACCCAGAGCTGGGGGCCAGGTTGGGGCTGTTATGTGACTCATGTGGCCGGGAGAGGACATCACATTTTAAAGTTAGCTGCTGACACTTGAAAATTGGCAGTGTCTGCCCTCAGAGAAAGGACACAGGAAGTCTCTCGCATGAGAATCTGAAATGCTAACTTCTCTTGAAAAAAATGTCAGGGTCTGGCCACACCGGGTATGCGTTCCCAGCTGTTGGCCCTTGGGGCCTGTTTGGATGGGGCCTGTGTACCACGGTTGCCCAAGCTCCCAGCTCTCCTCGGCCCCCTGCCTTGGCCTCCTCCCTGGGTCCTGTGTGGCCTGCCTGACGCTGGCGCTCTCAAGCTGCCATGTCTTAGGTTGGAGGAACGGGGCCTTAATTTCTGCTTTGTGTGCAGGTCCCTGCACTTCAGGGAGAGCCAGGTACTGTGGGTGGCACCCCCTGCTGCTTTGGGACCCTCCCCTGGGCATCTCCCTCCTGCCCGGGGGTGACCACTCACCAGCGAGTTGGGAGGTAGAGATGGCTTGGTGACATATCTGTAGCTCAGGCAGCAGCAGAGGCCTGCAACCAGGAGGCCCATGAGGAACAGGGCGGCACCTGAGAAGGAGTAGGTCCACGTCTGATCTGGGTGAGCGGAGAGCAGAGTAGGGAGGTGAGGCTGGAGTCCCATCTGGCCTGGCCCCAAGTGTGTGCAGTAACCCGGGGCTGTCCCTCCTCTGGCCCGGGGCTGTCCCTCCTCTGGCCTCTCGGGCCAGGCTTGGAAGGCCCCTCCTCCCCCCAGTATTTGCAGGTGGGGCAGGAGCACCAATGGAGGGCCACACACCTGTCTAACTATTCAGAATCTAGAAATCATGTTTTACATTATTAAGTAAAATCTGCTCCAAGCTCTCACTTGACAAAATCACTTTCCACAATGACCTGGAAGGCCAGCTTTGAAGTTTGGACTTTTGGACTCCTTGGGGTACTGTCCTGAAATGTGGAGGGGCAGGGAGAGCTCCCCTTGCTTTTAGCCCACCCAGCTTGACCCCACACTGTGGGGAGCTGTAGGCACATAGCTACTGACTCCCAGCACACAGCCAGGCTTATCCATGCCCCCCACAAATAGCAGCCCATTGGCTACCCTTTGGGCCGAGGTCTCTTCTCTGCATTAACAGTGTTTGCCCTGGGGAGGCAGAGGAAGAACTCTGTCTGGACTGCATGTGGGCTTGGGGCATTCGTGTGGGGAATTCAGGACTCCACGTACTCAAGTTCCCGGAAAGAGAGGCTCCAGGGAGACTGACCACTTGGACTTAAGGACTTAAGGACTCTTCTTCATCATGTGATGTGGGGAGGCCCATGGTGCAGAGTGGGACCTTGTGAAATACAGGGTTCAGATAAGGGCCCCTCTTGTCTGGGACCAAGGCCACTTCTGTTGCTCTGCAAGGGGGCAGAGGCAGAGGGAGGGGAGAAGTAACAACACAAGGACTTTCTTTCTTATTCTATCTCCTATTATTCTAGAAAATAACTGAAGTCATACAAACAAGACTGGACTGAGAGTAAGGGATGTGGGGGACTAGAGGTCTGGCTCAGCCACTGACATGTTGAGCATCTCTCTCTTGGTTGCCTGCCTCTCTGGTCTACCATTTATTCATAATAGCAGCCAGCATTATGGAGCTCTGACCACCTGCTCTGCCCTGTGCAGAGTGCTCTAGCTATTTTATCCCACTGAACCCAGAGAGCCAGAGATGCTCTCTTCTTACAGATAATGAAGCTGCGTCTCAGAGAGATTAAGTGATTTGACCAAGGTCACACAGCTACTCAGTGGAGAAACCACGATGACAGGTGTAACTCACAGCCACCACACAATGATGCTTCAGTTTCCTCATCTGTAGAATTAGGACATCGGGTGAGGTGACCCCTAGGGCATCAAGATGGTGGAACAATGCTCTGTGATCCTCCAAGATAGCCTTAGAAGTAGATAAAGTGGGAATTCTGGAGGTAAGACAGTCACAAGGATGCAAGGTCAATGGCAGGACATAGCCCTGGAATGAAAGTAAGAGGACTGTCTCTTGCATGCAGTCTAGGGGACCAGCTGTAAACAGAATTGCACAATGATGGTTAGAGTCCAGTGACCCTAACTGGGTCCAATGACCTTGTGCAGTCATAGTTAAGTTGTTTACCCTCTCTGAGCCACAAGCCTCCCCCCTCAAATGGGGATGATGGGACCCCACTTGTAGGATTGTTATAGATTAAATGGAAATATGGATGTAGGGCCTCCCCGGTGGCGCAGCGGTTGAGCACCGGGTTGCGAAGCTGCCCTCAGCCTCTGCAGCACCAGTTCAATCCCCGGCCGCCCTGGGCGAGGGTCCCACATGGTGCGCAGACCTCTCCTGCCCGCTGCTCCCCTCAGCAGTGTATTTCAGTCAATCTGCCTGTTCTGCTCTCTGCTTTGTCTCTGGTGAATTCTCTCACCCTCCTGCACTTCTGACTGTACCCAGTGCTTGTATACAGAAATAAATAAATCTTAAAATAAATAAATAAATAAATAAATTCTTTAAAAAAAAAAAAAAAGAAATATGGATGTAAAGCATTTACCTATGGCTTGGCCATACAGTAGGTACTTTATAAATGGTAGGAATGGTTACTAAAATACTTCATTTTGAAGGATAATGTGCTTTTTCTATGTCAGCAAGAAATAACCCACTGAGAAGTGTGATTTATATAAAGGTAGCCCCAATTTTAGAAAAAATGTGTTATGAGCTAGACCGGGTAAAAACCAGCCAACAGAAGGATAAGGGTGGTGTGGTCTGCCCCTTGTCAAAAAAGCAGAGTGAGACAGGGCTGGGCCAGATTTGTGTAGAATGGGCCAGGGAAGAGGGTCGCAGATCACACACTCACTTCCAGCTTAGTGCCGGTACAGGCGGTTTCCTTTTTCTAGTTCTCTTGCCAATTCTATTCTGGTCCTTCCAGTGACCCTTTCCCTGGGAAGGGCATGCCCTGTGCTGGGGGCCAGAGCTGCCTGTGCCACTGGGCATAGTTTCCCTGGAGATTTATGCACTGGGACTGCAGTGGGGAGATCAGTGTCTCGGGGGCTCGAGGGTCAACTGGTGAGTTAAGTGTTTGAACAAGGGTGAGGACAAGAACCTACCCAAGGATGAGTCCACCAGGCGGTAGGCCCGGCCTTGCGGCTACCTGGTCTCTTGTTCATTGCTGCAGGCCCAGCTTTGGTTGTCCCATTTGGCAGCTGGAGGACCAGGCCCCCAATACTGAGTGACTTCTGCAGGGCACACAGAGAGCTGACTCCTGGCCAGCTGTGTCTCCTGGCTCCTCGTGGGTACCCTCTTTCCACTGCACCAGGAACCGAAGCCATCTCTCGATTTAAACTCTGATCTGAATGTTGGCGTGGTTGGAACAGTAATCACCTACTGATATGATTCATCTGAACATGATGACTCAGGTGGAGACTGTTTTTCTAAATCCATCCAACCCTCTGCTATCACTCTCATCTTCTAAACCTGCAGCTTGGAGCATTTCACATAACTGTCTCTATAAAAATAACCCCTCATAAAAAGTTCATGCTGCTTGGATGGCGCTGGAAGGGATCATGCTCAGCGAAATCAGTCAGAAAGAAAAAGAAAAATACTGGATGGTTTCACTGATAGCAGGAATTTAGAAAACCTCAATAAGGGGCCAGGAAAAAGACTAATTAATACAAAGTAAAAATAAAAATCAACAAGCAACTATAAACCCGAGACACACTACGGGGTGGGTGGGGGGGTGGGGGGGAGGGGAGGGAGGGGCTTGGAGAAGAAGGACTAGGGTCAAAATAAGAGGGGGTGCAATTGTGCGGGGGATGTAACCAAAATGAAAATGCATACATTGTGCAAAAATGAAAAATGATGCAAGAATTATATAAAATAAAATATTAATTAAAAAAAAGTTCCTGCTGCTGATGAGAGTCGAGTTTCTGTGTGCTGGGGAAGGGAGCAAAGGTCCCGTTTCACTGAACAGATGACTCAAATCTGTTTCTATGGTCTCATGGTGGTGAGAATGTGGTCTCCAGAATGAGGTCTAGCTCCATCCCTCAGCACCTGTGTGACCTTGGCCAAGTGACTTAACCGCTCTGAACCTCAGTTTCCTCATCTGTAAATGGAGGATGGCTCGTAGGTGGCGCGAGTGGATCGTGCTTAGTTTCTGGTTAGCACTGTAGAAATTCAAGTTGTCATCACCATTATTTGACTTTGGAGGATATGGAGGGTGTTTTATCTTCTGCTCTCCCTTTTAAAGATCATTTCCTGGTTTATCTCACTTGGGTTAATATTAAGGCGAATGTGCTTTGCCAGCTTACATAAATCTTGCTAGCGAGGGGCAATCCAGGAAGGTGGAGATTAAACATGAGCTGTGATAACCCAGCAGCTCACTGTTTGGTGGATAAACAAGGATTGACTTTAATAATGCATTAACAACTCTGCTGTGGTTTTGTAGGGCTCTGCCAAGCCTCACCTTGGTTACAGAGAGGAAGATATAGTCGACATTTGAATTCAGGAGTCCCTGCACCCTCTGGCCTCAGATTTACCTGGCAGTGTCTTCACTCGGCACACATACGGGCGGCTCTCTTTGGACCAGTTTGGAAGCCAAATCGTGGTAGTCCCAAGGAACTCTGTGTCAGGGGTCAGTCCACTGAACTCAAATTCTCTCTGTTTCCCTTCAAGGTGCTAAATTTGACAAAGAATCCAGAGTGAATCTTACATGCCAACCCCCACCTGGAACCCGAGCAAGGATGCACACATCCCTGCCTGGCCACCATCAACTGCCCAAGCCAGAAACTGATCCCCTACCTTCTGCTTTATCCCCAAATGCAGTCAGTCATCAAGCTCCATGTACACTCATTTAGCACAGTGTCTGGCACATAGAAAGCACTCTATAAATACCAGCTGCTGTTACCACTACCACCACCACCATCACATCATCACCATATTAGCATCACCACCACCATCACTGCCACCCCACCAGCCTTTTACTTCTCCTCTTCTTCCTTCTTTACCACACATCAAAAACCCTTCGAATACCCATCCTTCCCCTGCTTTTCTCACCACTCTTGCCTTCACTGGACTGTAACATCTTCAGCCTGAACTCTTGCAGTAACGTCCCTACTGGTCACCTGTCTCTGGTTTAGCCCCTGCCCCCTTCTGTGTTCATCCTGGTGCCATAGTGCTCTTGCTAAAGGATTAATATAACTGAAATGTTCCTTGATTCAAAATCCTTTGATGGTCCAAGTCATGTTAGAAGTCAAAACTCTGTGCATTCAGGGTCTCCCCTGTGGCACAGAGAGTTGAGTGAAACACTGTGAAGCTGCCCACACCACAGCCTTTGCGGCGTGGGTTCGATTGCTGGCTGGCCAGGAAGAAACCCACATGGTGCGGCAGACCTCTCCTGCCTCGCCCGCTGCTACCCTCAGCAATGCCTTCGGTCCGTCTGCCTGTTCTGCTCCCCACACTGTCTCTGGTGAATCCTCTCACCTCCCAGCACCTCTGGCCTGTACCCCAGTTTTTGTATAAATGAAAATAAATCTTAAAGAAAAACCACAAAAAAACTCTGTGCATTCATCTCTTTCTAAAACCCAGCTGGTCCTTTGGGCTCAGGTAATGCTGAATCCATGTCACTCCTGCAAACACTTTGCTTGCTGAGGCCAGTCCTTAATGCTTTGCATCTGCTGATCTTTCTGCTAGGGATGCTTTTCAGTTTTGCCCTCCTGTATCTCTCTAATTTCTTTGACCTTGACTTGACTTTGCCTTTGGCAGCTTCATTCTACCATTTTAAAGCAGTTAGTTTAAGATGCACAGATCAGTGGAACCGAATAGAGAGCCCAGAAATAAAGCCACACTAATATGGACAACTAATCTTTGACAAAGGAGCAAAGAGTATGCAATGGAAGATGGACAGTTTTTTCAAAAAACGGTGCTGGGAAAACTGGACCTCCACATGCAAAAAAAATGAAACTAGACCACTACCTCTCACTATGCACAAAAATCAACTCAAAATGGATAAAAGACCTAGACGTAAGACATGAAACCATAAAATATATAGAAGAAAATATAGGTAAAACACTATAAAGCATACATCTCAGTAACATCTTTAAAGACTCATCACCCAAAGCAAAGAAAGTCAAGGAAAAGATAAACACCTGGGATTATATCAAACTGAAAAGCTTGTATCAAACTTGTATCAAGCTTATATCAAACTGAACAGCAAAAGAGACACTAACCAAAACAGAGACACCCCACTGATAGGGAAAAAACATTTGCACTCCATACAACTGATAAGGGACTGATCACAAAGATATACAAAGAACTCACACTACGCAACAAAAACAATCCAGTCAAGAAATGGGCAGAAGAACTTAAAAGACATTTCTCCAAAGAGGAAAAGCAAATGGCCAACAGGCATATGAAAAAATGCTCAACATCCCTTATCATAAGGGAAATGCAAATGAAAACCAAATCGAGATACCACCTTACACCAGTAAGAACAGCACCTATTAAAAAACTGGCAACAACAAATGTTGGCGAGGATGTGGTGAAAAAGGAACTCTCCTGCATTGCTGATGGGAGTGCAAACTGGTGCCAGCGCTATGGAAAGCTGTGTGGAGGTTCCTCAGTCTACTGAAAATGAAGCTAATGTATGATCCAGCAATTCCATTCCTAGGGATCTACCCAAAGGACACAAAAACACTGATTCAAAAGAACACCTGTGGGCCTCCCCGGTGGTGCAGCGGTTGAGCTCTGGGTTGCGAAGCTGCCCGCAGCCTCTGCAGCGCTGGCTTGATCCCCGGCTGCTCCCCGGCCACATGGCGCGCAGACCTCTCCTGCCTCCCGCTGCTCCCCTCAGCAGTGTACTTCGGTCCTTCTGCCTGCTCTGCTCCCCGCTCTGGCTCTGGTGAATTCTCTCACCCTCCCGCGCTTCCCAGTGCTTGTATAAATAAATAAATCTTAAAAAAAAAAAAAAAAGGGAATGAATGACTAGGAAATCTCTGTGTAATATGGACATTAGAACATGGAAACTTAAGAATCAAAAAATGCAATGTCTGAAATTAAAAACCCACTGAACTGTCTAAACAACAGACTGGAGATAACAGAAGAAGCAGAGAACTTAAAGACAAATCAATAGGATAGAGAGAATTAGATCATGGTGATAGTGTCACAGCTTTTTGAATATACTAAAAACCACTAAATTGTACACTTTAAAAGGGAGAATTTGATGGTTTGTGAATTATATCTCAATAAAAATGGGCAAGTGTACTGTGAGAATGCTTTCTACAAGAGAAGCACTTGAAATAGAAAGCCACAGATGAGAAAAGAAATGGATGTAAAAAGATATACTATGCAAACTATAGGAATTAGAAAACTGGAGTCACTGTATTCATGAAAGATAAAGTAGACTTTAAAGAATATTAGCAGAGATCAAAACATTGCATTATAATAAAAGGGTGGCTTATCAGGAGGTTATGACCATTGTAAATATGGTAAGTTTCAAATATGCACAGAATTAAAGGGAAATCCACAATTATAGTTGGAGGTTGTTGTATTACAGCAATGAAAAGAATAATAGACGACTTTCAAATCAGGAAAGACACAGGAGATCTGAATAACACTAGAAACCACCACAGAACACTCCACTAAGCAACTGCAAGATACATATTCTCTTCAAGTGCACACAGAACATTCACCAAGATAGGCCATAAAACAGGTCTCCATACATACAGAAGGACAGGCATCATAGACTATGTCCTCTGACTGCATTGAATTTTAATTCAGTTAAATTTTAACTTAATTCACAATTTCAATTCACAAATGATATTAAATCAGAACTCAGTAGCAATTAGTCAGTAGAACTCCAAACACTTATCGAAAAAAAAAGTTGTGAGGGCCTCCCTGGTGGCGCAAGGGGTTAAGACGCAACCTATGAAGCTATCCACAGCAGCATGAGTTTGATCCCCGGCCAGGGAGATGACCTACATGGCGCAGCAGACCTCTCCTGTCTTGCCCGCTGCTCCCCTCAGTACTTCAGTCAATCTGCCTTTTTTGTTCCTCCCTCTGTCTCTGGTGAATCCTCTCATTCCCCACACCTCTGGCCTGCTCCCCAGCTCTTGTATGCATACATAAATAAATCTTTTTTAAAAAAGTTGTGATAAGGACTCTCCCTGTTTGATAATCTCTTATTGCTCTTCTTGATTACTAAAATAAAGATTCCTTCATCTACCACCCCAGACCTCTGCAGCATGGACCCCTGGTTTTCTCAGGCACAGATTTCATTAACAGGGAACCTAGGTTTCCCAGACAGGGAAGACCAAGAAGGAAAATATCTTTACCACCTGGAAGGTGTGGTTGTCTTGGAGTTTCAAGCGGTAGTACAGTTCCTGGAAGATGTCCTCCAGGGTTAGCCAGTGGCCATCTCCTGCTTGGATGGGTGTGGGAGAGGGGTGAACAATCATCTGGATGGATCTCACCTTGGGAATACAGGTTACTTCAGGTGGTTTGATGGTAGCTGAAAAAAAGGGAGAGAGGAAAAAGTTGAACCACTCACCCTTCAAGCACATGCACATGTTGAGGTGTGAAGCTGTACTCCCAAACATAGCAAATGGCAAATCAACAAAACCTTGAAGAAAGGATGAAAAAGTCAGAATCAGTCTTAGTGTCTGCCCTGAACCTGGGGTAGGACAGTTTCTGTTTCCTCCCACTCCAAATTCAGCTTCTGAAATCAGTTAAACAAAGTGGAGAGAAGAGAAAGGTTCTGCTAGCAGTTGGTATTTGGGTTTAAGGCTGGCACAGGGGTGGTCTAGGGTGAGAGGGGAGAGCACTGGGAGCAGCATCCTGGGCCCCTGGGTTGATCATGCCCTTGTCCCAGCCCCACGCATCCCAGATGCTCCATCCCCACCTTGACTCTGCCCAGAGCACCCTTCTTCCTAATCTATTGGCAGTGACTTTTGGGGGACTGGTGTCTCAGCCACAGATCTTAATGTTTGAGGCACCCAGCATTGATTCAGTACCAAAGTCTAAATAAACAAATAACCGTTATTGGTTCATAGACCCCTTTGGGTCTCCCTCAAAGTATGCATATCCAAATTCTTACACCCAATTCCAGGGATTCATGAACCCCACTGCCCCTAAGGTAATTTACAAAATCCCTCAAGTATTCACTAATCCATAACATTAAAAATATCTGAGCTAGAAAAGTGTTCAATATTATAAAATTGAAAAACTGAGTTAAATGTTCTCTTGGGCCTCCCTGGTGGCACAGTGGTTAAAGACAGCGCTATTAAGCCATCACCAGCCACTGAAGCACGAGTTCAATCCCCAGCTGGGGAGCTACCCACATGGCACAGCAGACCTCTCTTGACTCACCCGCTGCTCCCCTCAGCAGTGTATTTCGGTGGATCTGCCTGTTCTGCTCCACTCTGTCTCTGGTGAATCCTCTCACCTCCCGCACCTCTGGCCTACACCCCAGTTCTTGTATGCAGAAATAAATAAATCTTAAAAAAAATGTTCTTAAGAAGGAAGTTAGGGAAGTAAATTAGAGTAACTCTGTAGACTAGATTATTTTGCAGCTATGAAATATCACGTGTAAAAATAATGACATGCTCATATGTCCATGATACCATTATATGAAAAAAAACAAAACCCAACTCGATCACCGAAGAGGAGATAAAATTAATGATACTGACTATGGTCATGTTCAAAAGTTCATGTTACTTTGGGCTACTTTTATTTTTCTTTGTGTAGTTGTATATTTTCCAAATTTTCTATAATGAACAATTATTGGTAACTAAGCAAGATAAGAAAAAATAACTTATTAATTAAATATTTTGTTTTCTTAAAAAAGCACATGGCTGTTAAGTCAGTTGGTGAACATTGTGCCTGCTTAACTGGTGTGGGGAGTTTGACAGATCATAGTCACTTCATTCATTCATCAGTATTGAACACCCCCTAGGTGCCAGGCGCTATGCTGGAAACACAGTGGATTCCACACCCACTCAGGTCCTTTTGAATTTCACGTTTCAGTGGGGAAGGTGGGCAATTGGCCCATAAGCAAACACAGTAATTGCAGATTGTAATATGAATGGTGAAGACAATGAACAACTTATTTTGACAGAGAATAACAGATGGTGACCAGTGAGATCAGGTTGTCAGGGCTGTGAGCAGAGATGCCCATGTAGCACGTGATTTTGAACCTGAGACCAAGGCGAAGGATCGGGAAGGAGCCAGTCACAGGGAGAATCAGGAAGACCCCCAGACTATGGCAATAGCAAGGGCCCCAGACTGGAAAGAGTCAGAAGCCAGGGCAGCGCAGCGGGAGAGCATTTGATCTGAGGGAAAATACAGGCAGGGGTGGTAGAGTAGGGTCTTACTTTGAGAGTCGTGGGAAGCCATTGAGGGTTTTAAGAAGGGGGTGAAGAGGTGAGATGGAGGTTTTGAGAAGATCCTTCTGAATGCCGCTGGAGAATGGGCTGGAGGAGGGACTTGAATGTGTTAGAGGCCCTAGGTGGAGTGGAGGGGCAAGACAGTGGAGGTCTTGGGCCTCCCTGGAGGCGCAAGGGGTTAAGCACCACACTATGAAGCTGTCTGCAGTCTCTGCAGCACAAGTTTGATCCCCGGCCAGAAACCCACATGGCGCAGCAGACCTCTCCTGTCTCGCCCGCTGCTCCCCTCAGCAGTGTATTTCAGTCAGTCTGCCTGTTCTGCCCCCCACTCTGTCTATGCTGAAATCTCTCACCCCCCGCATCTCTGGCCTATACCCCAGCTCTTGTATGCATAAATAAAAAAAAATCTTCAAAAAAAAAGATAGTGGAGATCTTGCCAAGTAGGTGAGGATGGAGGTGGGGCAAGAGGGAATAGCATCCTGGGGATGCTTTCTAGTCAGGTGTTATCCTTCATAGACACATCCCTTCCTGTCCCTTGCCCCCAAGCAGAGCCTCCCTGAGGTCTCCTTTTCCTCTCCCCTGTGGTAAGAGGGGTTCTCACTCACTGACATACTGTGAACAGAACCGTTCAGTCATCTGGGTGACCGACTGGCCCCTCGTGCTGGTGGCGGTCACCCTGGCGTAGTAGGACTCATTGTAGTTGGCCGTCTCCATGGTCAGGTTGCAGGATTTGCGGGTGATCCGCTGGCACCCCTCCTTTGGCAGCCAGGCTTTCTCTCCGTACCTATAGGCAAGGGAATGAACAGAGCACAGTTTTTTTTTTTTTTTTTTTAAAAGATTTATTTATTTATTTATACAAGCACTAGGTACAGTCAGAAGCGCGGGAGGGCGAGAGAATTCACCAGAGCCAGAGCAGGGAGCAGAGCAGGCAGAAGGACCGAAGTACACTGCTGAGGGGAGCAGCGGGCAGCAGGGGAGGTCTGTGCGCCATGTGGGATCCTCCTCCGGTGGCCGGGATGCAGCCGGGGATCGAACCCGCGCCGTGGAGGCTGCGGGCAGCTTCGCAACCCAGCGCTCAACCACTGCGCCACCAGAGCACAGTTTTAATGAACAGAGCTGGCACCAGGCCTGTGGGTTATTGATGTTGATAACAACATCTAACATTTACTTAGCACATTGTGTCCCTGTCTTTATGTGGATGATCTGTTAGTCCTCACAGTCATCCCGTGAAGCTCTTACACTATTCTCCCTCCTTTTCAAATGAGGATGCTGAGTCTTAAAGAGGTAAAAATGACCCAGGTGCTTGAAGCATACCTCTGGGGAGACAGGATCTGAACCCAAACTGTCTCAAGTCCACATTTTGGGTTCATTGCAACCTTTCAAGGCAGGCAGTTACCCCCGTTTTACAGATGAGAAATTGAATTCAAAGAGACGTGACTTGCACAGCACAAAGTGGTAGGAGCAGGGACAGCACCAAGCTTTGCAGACCCCTGAGTCCATGACCACCCTCTGCTCCTGCTGGGGAACAGGGACGGGTAAGATTGGGGGGCATGAACTGGAGGAGTGGGCAAAAATTCTAGTTGACCTAGCCTCACCACTAATAAGAATTTGGGGGGTGGTGTGGGAATTTACAGAAGGGGAGATTTTCTTGGAGGGACTGGTTTCGGAGCAGAGTCAGAAGAGAGCCCGTTGGGAGGGAAACCTACATCTTATACTCGACACTGTAGACTGTGTCCGGGGCAGTCTGTGGCCCACTGTCCCACGTCAGGATGTTCTCGAAGTTGCTGGACTGGAATTTCACGTGCTGAAGAATATCCGAAGTGTTCTCAGGGATGTGAGCTGCAGAAAGGGGGAGCAGCATGAACAGATGGGTTTAGGACCCTGCCCCCTATTTTCTAGCCACCTGTGCAATGAGCGGGTGAGAGCTGGTGCCCACTCGCCAGAAACTGCAACCCCACTGCTCCCCTTCATCGGCTTTTCTTCCTTTCCATTGACAGTTATTGTCATTCCAAAAAAACCCACCATTTCAAAGCAGACAATTCAGTGGTTTCTTAGTTTTGCAAACCTGTGCAACCACCATCTAATTCCAGAACATTTTCATCACTCTGAACAAGAGACCCTGTATCCATTAGGAGTCACTCACCATCCCTTCCCTCACCCCCCAGCCCTAGGCAACCACCCGTCTGCTTTCTGTCTCCACGCATTTGTTTATTTGAACTTTTTCATATAATGAGAGTCAGACAATACGTGACCTTTTGTGTCTGACTTCCTTCACTTAGCATAATGTTCTTATGATTCATTTATATTATAGCATGACTCAGAATTTATTTTCTTTTCATGGCTGAATAATATTCCACCACGTGGCTAGAACACATTTGTTTATTCTCACATCATTGATGGACATTTGGGTTGTTTCCATTTTCTGGGTTATTATGAACAATGCTGCTGTGAGAATTGGTGCATAGAAAAAAAAGGACCTCCCTGGTGGCGCAGGCGGTTGAGCACCGCCCTGTGAAGCTGTCCGCAGCCTCTGCAGTGCGGGTTCGATTCCGGCTGGCCGGTGAGAATCCCACATGGCGCAGCAGACCTCTCCTGTCTCGCCCGCTGCTCCCCTCAGCAGTGTATTTCAGTCAGTCTGCCTGTTCTGTTCCCCGCTCAGTCTCCGGCGAATCCTCTCACCCTCCCACGCATCTGACCTGTACCCCAGCTCTTGTATAAATAAAATAAAATAAAATCTTAAAAAAAATACCAGCTATCCCACTCCTTAGGTTGATATCAAGGAGTGGAAGAACTGGGTTATATAGTGACTTGAGTCTCTAACTTTTGAAAGGACCACCAAACTGTTTTCCAAAGTGACTGCACCATCTTACATACCCACCAGCATTGTTTGAGTGGTCCAGTTAGTACAGGTCCTTGCCAACACTTTGCTGTTGCTTCTCGTTCATGTCTTAATACTGTCTGATGTTGGTGTCTTCACCAGATCAATATTTTAGAGATATTCAACTAAATGTTGAATAATATCTAGAATGTCGAAGAAGTCACTTTCCGGGAGTCAAACATTTCAAACAAGGGTGAAGAGATTTGTGAATTCCTGACCCTCTGCTGGCCAGACCCACCTCTGCTATCCCCACCCACCTCAGGATAGCAAAGGCGACCAAGGTCACACATGGGCAGGGTGGCCTTGCTGTTGCAACAATTAGCACTTCAATGTCTTCATCTTTAAAATGGGAATACTCTGACTTCACTTTATATACAGATATATGTATGTGTATATATACACATATATGTTTGAAAGATTTATTTGTTTTTATTTATTTATGCAAACAAGAACTGGGGTATAGGCCAGAAGTGCAGGGAAGGGGGTTGAAAAGATTCTCCAGAGACAGAGGGGAAGCAGAACAGGCAGATCTACTGAAATACTCTGCTGAGGGGAGCAGCGGGTGAGACAGGAGAGGTCTTCTGGACCATAGGTGGGTCAGCTCCCTGGCCGGGGATTGAACTCATGCTGCAGTGACTGGTGATAGCTTGATAGCACTGAGACTTTAACCCTTGCACCCCCAGGGAGGCCCCTGACTTAACCATAAATGATAATGACAACGCCAGGAGCTAACATTTATGAAATTCCCATCAAGTGTTAGGCACGGAGCCTCCTGCTTGGTGGAAGACTCACGTCATCCTGATGAGGTCCTGACTATCATTATCTCCATTTTATGGATGAGAAAAACCAAGGCTCAGAGGGTTGTTTGCCCCATATCACAGTTATATCACATGACAGAGGCTGAAGTGTCCGTCACAGTGCCAGCCATTATGGGTTGGAAACGAACTTGTGCTGCAGAGGCTGTGGACAGCCTCATAGGTTGCGTCTTAACCCCTTGCACCACCAGGGAGGCCCCTGTTTACCTCTTCTTATGGGGGGGGCTTCAGTCGTCTGAGCCCTGGTAGTGGGACCAGCCTAGGGAGGGGGGGGGGAGCGGAGCAGCTGGGGCTAGGCTAGGTCTTTGTTGGGTCTAGTCTGGTTACACCAAAGAAAGGGCAGCACAGGCCAAGGCCCCAAGAAGGGGGGTGGGGAGGAACTGCTGTTCTGAAGCAATTATGCTGTAAATGAAAGTCCTTGACTTTTGAAACTCTTCTCTCCTATGGAAGGAAGAGCGTTCAGGAACGTAATGGCCTGGGCTGGCATTTTCTTCTGAGTTGCTCAGGAGGGCCTCGCTGGCTGGGGTGGGAAATAAACAGGTGCAGACCTGGTTGAGAGGAGGCCTTGAAGCCTTGTGGGTATGAGTGTGTGCCCCCTCCCCCTCATGGCTGTGACCACCAGCAGACCCAAAGCTGTCGTGCCCTTGTCTTCCAAGCTCCCTAATACCCTCAGAAGGGGGCCTTAGGAACTGGGGGTCCTTACTGCCTCTGCCCAGCTTGACAGCTGTGCTGCTGAACTCTCCCGCAGGTGCCAGGAAGGCTAACATCCGGTTTGGATCTGATCTCGTGGGAGGGGTCCTGGGCTCAGAGTTGGGTCTTGGTTGAAGCAGGGGGTCCACCTACACTGGGGTAGATCAGTCTGGGCAGAAGAGAATGAGGGTGGAATTGGAGAGAAGGCCAGGGTCTGTCTGGGGTGGGCTTAGCCTCTTCTAGGGGTGTGCTCGGGCCTGCAGTGGGAGGTTGCTGGTTGGCTCAGCCCCCTGGGTAGACAGTGCAGGTTAGTGGGAACCTGGTAATTGATGCTGGGACCTGCTAGGAGGTAAAGGGCCCAGTATGGGTGGAGGTTGGTACATTTTTCAGGAGGGAACTGAACTTTGGGGTTCAGTTGGCCCCCTGTTTTGTGGGTGTTGAGGGCTAACAAAGTCTCCCCTCTCCTCCCTCCCTACTTGTCCCTTTTCCTTCTCAAATCTGTCATCTGTTCATCAGCCTATGTCATTCCTGCACCGTGTGAAGTTTGGGGAGACATATCTGGAGACTGACTGATGGATTATAAAAAGGGAGTTTTCATGTTTACATGGGAAAAAAATTAATGTCAGCCAGTTGGGAAGGTAAGAAAAAAAAAACAAACAAGTCAACTCTGTCACCAGCCTAAGAGTCCTGAGGTGAAGGGACTTGGGTCCCCTGAGTGAATTTACTAATTCAGCCTTCAAAGAGTTGAGTCCTATAGGTCCCCCATCTTATGAGGCCAGGAACCTCCAAAACTCAAACCAGAATGATTGGGAGTTGTTCAGGACACATCTTAGGGTCCCTTGGGGGAGGCACAAGTCTTCCTAGCTCATCACAGGCCCTGTGTGTTGGACATGCTCAGCGTGATGCCAGCAACGCAGGTGCCAGGTGGCAGCCACCGGCAATGGCCGGGCGCAGCCAGGCAGACAGACGGCTCTGGCTCTTCACAGGCCTCAGGCTGCCCTTGGGCTGGAAGGAGGCTTGAAGAGACCATCCCACCCCCTCTTGGGTCAGGACTATGCTTTCACTGCCTGCAAAGTTTCCCTGAATTTCATTAGGCACATCAGGGAGCAGAGATGTCATGTAGGACGTTATGAGTCTGTCTGAAAGTTTCCCATATGGACGAATCCAAAGAGCCACTTTGCTGGGTTCAAAAGCAATGCCTGTTGGCCCTTAACTTTTCAAAAAGGCCCTTAACTTTTAAGACCGAATCATGGCGCGGAGAAGGCCATGGTGGCAGAAAATGCCCTTTTAGATCTAGCAAGAGGGGCTCCCCGATAGGGCTGGAGGGAGGGCACCGGCGGACCCAGGCTTTGCCCATGCCATCTCTCCCCTGCTTCCTTGGTCCGGCGAGTGCCAGCAGGAGCAGAGGAATATGGATGGGGTAGCCTCTACAGCATGAGGAGGCAAAGGGTGTCTACCTCCCTCAAGCCAACTCTCCGTTCCCTGGGGCAGGGGCCCTAGCACCCCCAGTTCAGACAGTGGATGGCATCCTTGCATTTTGGGGATCAGTTGAGTCTCTGGAAGAACCCAGAATCAGAGGCACCTCTCATTGTCCCTGCTAACCTGAGCCGGCATCTACCTGAGGGAAACTCAGTGCCCAATTCAGCCTTTGCATAGAAGAAACTGAAACTGGTTCCACTGGGGCTGACTGGGTGCAGGAGCAGCAACCTTGATTATTGGCTCCTGATCTGGGGGTTGAAGGGGGGTTCTGTCCGCGAAAGGTACTCACCAGCCAGGGACGCTGTGACCAGGATGGTCAGTAGCATCTTCATCAGGGACCGGCCCAGAGTCCTCTTGTGGTTTCCACTCCAGGCCAGCGCAGAGGAAGGCTTGGAAGCTTTGGCGCCTTGGCAGGTGGCTCCACCTGGGAACTGGGCGGGGAAAGAGGAGAGGAGGGACCTGAGCCGTGGGGAGCGGGGTACAAAGGTGTCTGGCCTGGTTGCTTTGGAATTTCAGGTCCTGGGAGGGGTCCAAGGGAGTGCCCTTCCTAGTCGTAGAAAATAGCAAGAGTGACAGGCCGGCTTGTTTATCTGGTCTGGTGGCTGATTCATCCCAAGCCTTTCTAGTGATTTGTCAGGGGGCTGAGAGACAGAAAAGGCAAAAATAACCCTCTGTATATATTATCAGGGTTCACCCTGAGGAAAATACCCTGAGTCGACAAGGGAGCAGAAAATATGTTCCTGAATAGTCCTTGTAGCAAAGAAAAGCTATGGCTCCTTGGCTTTGTTTGACAGGAGGAGACAGACGGTGTCTGCTACCTCCTTGTCCCCCTGTGGGCGGTGGGCCTGGGGACAGACAAGGATGCTGGAGGGAGATGTTCACTTTAACCTTGAGACTTAGGGGCCTGGGACCTGCTAAAGGTCGGGAAAACAACAGGGCTCAAACTTCAGTGACTCAGCTGGGCTAGAGACAGAGGCAACCTTGGTGAACAGGCCTCTGACTCAGGGCAACGAAGATTCAAACTCTCATCTGCAGCCATTCTGCAAAGGGCCCGTCTCCATAGCGACTGATGTGACATTGACTGGGGTGGGTACTTAGGAGATGATTTTCTTCTTCTCCTTGGGCCTCAGAGGAGGTTGAAGGGGCCCAGACTCTGGCTGAGTGGACTGATCAAAGGGTCCTGACCGCGGGGAGAGGTTGGCTGGCTCTGGCCATACACACCCACAGACTGAGGTCCACAGCAGGAAAGCCGGGTGCTGAGGGAGCCTCCAGGGGGCTTACCTTCAGGATGCAGTAGACCGTGACATCCGGGGAGCTATGTTTAGGTTTCCTTTCCCGTGTCGTAATAGTTTCTATCAGCCCCCGTCTTTGGTAAAGTTTGTTTGACAAAACCTCCAAGTTTAAACTATACTTTGGGGGATGAAAGGATGGCTGTGCCCGTCAGTTGCTGCAACTGCAGGGAACTACATTTCCCAATTCCTTTGTCAGCTGCTTCCTGGTAGTTTCAGCCAATGGGAGGCCCTGGGGAAGGACTGGGGGTAGAGGAGCAATCAAGGTGCTTCTAGAGAAGTTTTGAACAGCAACCTGGTAGTGGATGGAGAGCTTCCTCCCCGCGGTGGTGTATCTCTGGGCTGCTTTCTAGTACCTTTCAGCTCCTCTGACATTTGAGCAACCAACTTCTTTGTACTAACGTCCCTTGATTTGAAGGATTCGAGAGGTTTCTGTGCTCCTGAATGGACTATGATGGATGTGGGTGCCTTTGATGGCTTTAGGAACTAGGGGTTATGGAGAGATCACAGTTCTAAAATGTCAGCAAGGGCCCCATGGGGGAGGTGCAGTCAGACAGGTTGTCTGTCTACAACCTGTGAGACCTACGGAGCATGATGCCTTCCTTGGGGACTCTTGAGAAGCACCTAGAACTTGAAGGAGGAACTAAACTCCCTATCATTAGGAGGGACTAAGGTTACATAGGAACAAATGGGAAGGGAGACACTTGGATTGTTAAAGAACTTCATTTCTTTTTTTTTTTTTTTTAAAGATTTATTTATTTATTTATACAAGCACTGGGCACAGTCAGAAGCTCAGGAGGGTGAGAGAATTCACCAGAGCCAGAGCGGGGAGCAGAACAGGCAGACTGATGAAATACACTGCTGAGGGGAGCAGTGGGCACGGCAGGAGAGGTCTGCGTGCCATGTGGGACCCTCGCCCGGCGGCTGGGGATCGAACTGGCGCTGCAGAGGCTGCGGGCAGCTTCACAGCCCAGCGCTCAACCACTGCGCCACCAGGGGAGGCCCTAAAGAACTTCATTTCTAATAGTAAAAACAACCACAATCAAAAACAGCCTCCACGTCCAATGACAGGGGTTTGGTTAAATGAGTAATAGCAGGGCACCCAATGCCAGGGGGATGCAGTTTTCCTTTGAAGAATGCTGGGGGAGAAATGTTTGGTGTCTGTGAAGAGTCACCATATTTCAGCCAATGAAAAGAAGTGTGGCATAAACTGGTTCAAAGACCTATGTTCCCATGTAAAGAAAAAGGTAGAAATGGAATTATCCTGAGTGGTAATAGGATTACTGGTGGTTTTATTTTCTTTCTTTTACTCACCTGCATTTTCTAAAGTCTTTGCAGAAAAGGCTTCCTTCTACACTCAGGAAAAGCAAGGTTACTGGGCACAACAAGGAGCAGTGGAGACGTGCCTCTGTCTGGTGTCCCCTCCTTTGTGGATGCTATTTCCCCTGCCTGCGCCAAACTCCCTCCCAGAGTCACTCATGACAACACCAGGTACAACTGTCTCACCTTAAAAGCCCTCCTAGGGCTCTGGGCCATGGCGCAGTTGGCATTGCCCATTATCACTCTTCAGCCATGTCCACGTGTAAGAGTGGAAGGGAGGGACCAAGGCCGGGGGGACAAGAGACACCAGCACCGTCTTCAATATCCGACAGGCTGGTGCTGGAGGCGGGTGGGGCCCCTTTTTGTGTGATCATTAAACAGGAAAGGCAGTGGGGGGCGAGGGGACACACTTCTTTTGATGAAAGGCGCTCCTCCCTGGCGTGGCTGTGGCGGCTGGGCTGCTCCTGTTGACAAGAGATGGGACCACTGGTGGCTATTTCCTGGACAACCTCATCCTCTCTAAAATCCTGTGCTCTCTAAAATCCAGTGAGACGTGTGTCTCTCTGTCCCCTCCACATGGCTGAAGAGGGAACAGCCGTGAGCATGGATGTGTGGAGCTGACCCTCACAGAGACACTTCCCCCTGTGGGTTCTCTGGTTCCGGCTGCCCGGAAAATGCATTTATTTTCTCTCTGATAGATTTTTCCAATACACTGTATGTTATCTTGCCTCTGTCTGTATGAACTCTACCCAATACCCCTAATATCCTTTCCACCCCTCTTTCGGATCCAATTCCTGGTCATTTATTCTGCAGATCTCGCCTCAAATTCACTATCTCCTGGAAGCCCTGCTTATGTGCGTTGCTCTCCTGGCTGAATTAGGGGCCCCAGCTCTGTGCTGTCCAGTCCCTTGTACTACCCGACCCCCCATCCTCCTGCCCACAGTGTGTGTCACACCATGTTGCTCCCACTGTCGCCAGCATGGGGACAGGCCTGTAGCTTGCTCGTCTTGACATCTTGGCATCCAGCATGAGCTGGCTCAGAGCAGGTCCTGGCAATATTTGCTGAGTGAGCACGTGTGCTGGGTGGGGCTGGTCAGGGCATCACTACTGGTGGTGGAACTTCCCCGATGGAGCTGAGAAAAAGCATGTCCTGAAGTGACAATGCTCTGAAATGTGACCTGCTCCCATCCCTTCTCTCAGTGCAAGGTTGCCAGCCCTGTGCTGCAGAAACAAGAACATCCAGAGGCAGTGGGGTGTGCTTGGGGGCCGGGAGCCATGTTGAGCTGCCTCTGTGATTGGTGGCTCAGCGGTGAGAGCCTGAAGGGGGTCCCTGAGCATTCATGCATGAGAAGAGAAAGGGAGGAGGCTCTGGCAACCCAACCAAGAGCCTCTTCTTACAGAGCCTGAGAATCAGACTCCCGTTGGAGTCTATCAGGCTCCAAGCCTGGGCTGTAGGAATAGGGAATAACGACTCAATGCCCTAGGCTGGGAGCTGGTCTGCTCCAGCCCTGCCGCTGACTCCAGGTGGCTGAGAATATGTCTTGGCCCCTCTCAGACCTCACTTTGTCTGTGAATGAAAGCAGGTCTAGAAGGCTTGAGGGGTCTTGGACCTCTTGGGCCCTTGGTCCTATGTCACTTTGGGGTTGGGAACCTCCTCTGTCATCCCAGAAGTCCTGCCAGGGCTACTCATGGGGACTTGCACAGACTCAGCTCAGCTCTGCTTGTAATTTCAGCTCTCACTCAGGATGATCTGCTCCTGGAGCAGGCAGCAGGTAGGTGCATGCTTCGAGGACCATGCTTCTTCATAGAAACTTCGGGGAGACCCTGTGTCTCATGCCAGGATTGGGGGATTAGTTTCACCTGTCCCTGGGAGCCAGGTAGTGAACGGAATCTGGGTTTTGGGCAGAAGGACTCTGGTTCGAATCCTGGCTCTGCTGCTTCCCCTCAATGTGTAAGTCACTCAGTGTTGCCCTCAGTCTTCTCATCCACAAAAGGGAAATAACAGTCCTTCTCAGTGTTGCTGGGGCCAACAAGCTGATGTCTGTGGACACTGCTGAGGTGGAAATATCATGCAGTGAGTCACCTCTCCTATGAAATGAGGACCCAAGACCAAGTCAAGTCCCTTAAAAACCTTTGCAAAAACCCAGACTTGGGCCGTGTAGGCATGGGGATGGAGGGAGGGGCAATGAGGACAAAGATCCATGAGCCCTTGGACGTTTGCGTTGGGAGTAATTTTTGAAGCCAAATTTCAGATCAGGCCTCATGGTTGGGCTGGAGTTATTTAGGAGGGGAATTCCACGAGAGGGCCTGGAGCACGGAGAAGGGAGTAGGGTGGGGTCAGAGCCTGCTGGAATCTGCCTTCTAAGATGTTCATTTAGTGCCCAGAGAAGCTGAGGCTTTGAGTGGGTACAAACCATGCAAAGAAATGATGGGACTCACCTGGCTAGAGCCACCTTGAGGGGGGCTTTCCTCCACTGCTGATGTTTTTTTCCCACCAGGACAGGCTATTCCAAGATATCCCTACCTTGGGACCCCTCCCCAGCCCTCACCCTTCTCCTGACCCAATTAAAGAGGCAGTGGGTGTGTGTGTGTGTGTGGGGAATACCAGGAAATGTATAAAAAGCTGTCAAACCTCCATTTTCCTGTATCATCACATGCTGGCGGAGGGGCAGGGTGGGGTGGCTTCCCTGGGCTGGGTTCGATCCTGGCATGGAGCAGTAGCCTTGAGTAATTGACTCATGGAATTGACTCACTGATTTAGTTACTTAGTATAGATGTAACTGCTGATTTATTGTTTTTTAACACCAAACATTCATCCCTTTAGCCCCATTTTATGCACACAGGCATGAGGTCAAAGATGATGTCAGCAGGTAGCCGCTGATCAAGGGCTAGATCGTATATCAAGAAGTCACACCATTGTTGTTTTGTTCCCTACTTCTGCCTCCTTGATCATTTTCCCTCACTGAGGAGCACCAACCACAGAGCAGATGCTGGGTGGAGGGAGGAGAGTCATCTCCATGGGACAGGAAGTTGGGATCTAGGATGGTGTCACCTAATGCAAGATGCTTAGACACATTACAGGTTTCCCTGCTAGCCAAAAGTGTGTTCCTATGAAACCTTTGTAAGCTGGAAGTGGAAAGAAGCAATTATCATTAACTTTCGCAGAGAGAAGGATTCCTGTATATGTAAATCAGCCCCAACCAGTTTATACATCAGTTTACTCATTCATTCCTTTGTCCATTTACTCAATACCAAGCTGCCATCCTATGCCAGGTGCTGGTGCCAAGAGGAAATCAGTCCTTCTTCTAAAGAAGTGCTCAGGGTGTAACCCTCCCTTCCTAGCTGTCCTGAGCTTTGTAAGAACACGGGCCACCGCCGCCCTGCCATCCCACCACGTTCCAGAAGGTGGTGGCAAACAGGCCAAGAGAAACTCAGAAGGTGACCTGGCAGGGGAGGGCAGCAGGGCCAGGGAGTTCTGCCCTGTATTCTGGAAAGGACCTACTGCTCTGCCATTCCAGGGGGCAGATACCCAAACCTGACCACAGGCTGTGAGAGTCACAGTCTCTTTGTGATATTTGGTGACAAGTATTAGAAGACCCTGGCAGATGGCTTAGATGCTCACTTAAACGTAGGTAGCAGGGAAGCTGTAGAGGTCAGGGCTGCTGCTGTGCCTCGGAATGGACTGGAACCAGGACTTTTCTCATCTTGGCGCCTCACTTGGTGGCCCGGTTCTTGTCTCCTCGGCACACTGGGCTTTCTCATAGCCCTGAGTGGGAACTGTTGCCTCGCTGACCAGCAAGGTTTCGGAATTCCAGGCAAAGGGACTTACTAGATCAGCTCAGCTTGGCTCCTGAGTCTGCCCTGACATCAGCAAATGGTGAACAATTTACAAGCACAGGGCAGGGCACTTACCGGTTGGTCCTGGGAGAATGGCTGGAAGCTGGAGGACCCTCCCCAGTGGAGACCCAAGGGGATGTGTTTAGGTTTGCAGGGTGTTTTAGAGAAAAACCAGACTTTCCTTCACTCTCTCCTTATTACACTCACAACACTCCTGACACCAGACATGAGGGTTTCTCCCCCACATTAGGCAATTCTGCAAGCCCCCTGGGATAACTGGAGTTGGTAACTACCTACATATAACTGGGGTTGGTATCAGGTCTCTCAGGTTAGGGCCCCAAGGCAGTGCCCCCCCACCCCGCCGCCCCCACTTCACATGCCAGTTGGAAGCCCAGCTTGTTACTTGTGTTTCTGACCCACCAGCTACAGATCCAAGGTCCCCAGGACTCCCTCCTTGGGTTGACTCGTTTGCTAGAGCAGCTCACAGAGCTGAGGGCCACACTAACATTTACCAGCTGGTTAAAGGACACAGTAAGGGATGCAGAGGAACCGCCAGGAGGGGAGATGCAGAGGGCGAGGCCAAGAGGGTCCCGAGCTCAGAGCTTCTGCCCTGTGGAGTTGGGTGTGTCACTCTTTCGGGGTGGTGGTGTTTGCCAACCTGGAAGCTCTGACTCTCTTGGAATTTTATAGAGGAGGTCTTCCCATAGGGGCCTGATCAATTAACAACTGTTTTCAGCCCTTTTTCCTCCTTGAGGAGAAGGGCTGACGATTCTGAACTCTTAATGATGCCTTGGTTTTACCCGGTGACCAGCCCCACCCAGGAGCCCACCTGGAATCAATTGCCTCGTTAGGACAAAAGGTGCCGCTACCACCTGTTACAAGGGTTTCAGGAGCCCTGTGTCAGGAAGCGGTCAAAGGCCGAATATGAGGTGCTTCTAGTGCTCTTATCACTTAGGAAATTACCAGCGTTTCAGGAGCTTTGGGCCAGGGATCAGGGCCCAACATACATTTTGTATTATCTCAAACAGAGCCAGCCATGGGGGATGTTCTGTACTTTCCACCGATTATCGTAATGGGGGGGCTGTCGGGGTGGTGGCTTCACTGTGCAGGTACGTGGGTGTCCCGTCCCTCTGGCGCCCCCCCCTTCTCCTGCACCCACATGGATTCAAACAGAAGGTACTTGCCTCACTATGGGAGGGAGTGGCTCCCTACTCCTGATAGGAGTTGGTGGATAAAAGCCCTTGCTCTACCCCTGACAGGGGAGGAAATATGGAGCATCTGACACTGAGCTCCCAAAGCGCCTCTGGGAGTGGGGAGACTGAGCCCCAAAGACCCAGAGGAGCAACCTGTTAGACTAAGCGCCTGAACTAGCTGCCTTCCTGTGTCACTCCCTGCTCTCTTGTTGGTATTTTCCTGTGCTTTCTGGAGCCAGTGCGCCCCTTTATACCCTCAAATGTCTCTGGTTATGCTGCTGGGGCCCAAGCCAAGACCCTTGTAGTGCTAATAGCCAGATTTCTCAAATGATTGGCAAAGAGTCTTTGAAAAACAAGAGCACACACTTTCCCATTCAGTTCTGCCTTTTTCTCTAAAAATAGAGCTTTATTTAAAAACAGTTTAGAGTAGTACTAACAAACATTAGGAAATTATTTAAATAGGATATAAACAATGAACACAATTAGAAATAAATACCAACATCTAGAACAATATATCACCTACTCAGTATTCTGAAAGAAATATAAAGTGGCTTGAGCCCGAGGCATCACCCACTCTTCACCTGATGTCCTTCAAGAGAGACTTGGGGGTTCAGATCACAGATCCCAGTCTCTGGGTTCTGTTGATGTTGGTCTGGGTGCTTTCTTGAGCACCCAGTATTCCCCAACCCCATAATTCTGGTTTGTTGTTCTTTGTGCTCAACGACGTAGTCTGATTTTAGGGAAACCCTGCAGAAATGCATGTGTGTTCCAGCAAAGGTATTGTTGACATGGCCATGGGGACAGCGGTCAGCCCAGCTGACCAGAGACCAAAGATCTCCCTGGTAGGGAAATACACAGTAAGCCAACATTTTAGCTCCTTTGAGACAAAACACATGTACAATTTAAAAAGTGGTCTGCTAACCTCTTCAGTGGCGGTGGGCGCCTGAAACACACCTCATGGGGAAGGCCACTGGAATAAGTCAGGGGACAAGGAGGTTGCTCTGGTTGAAGTGGGGGAATCCTGTAACCCATGGTCTCCTGCCCCCATTGAGACTTCAGAACCCAAAGCCTTTTGGCAACACGGTTTAAGAACCTTTGGATCAGATTCCCTTGGGAGCTTTTCCAGATCTTTCATTGACTACTATACTCTCAGGTTGACTTCAAAACCACAGGCCTGGGTGCAGAGAAAAGGGAACCCTGTTTCACCGTCGCGGGGAATGTTAACTGGTGCAAGGATTGTGGAGAGCAATCTGGAATAGCTTAGAAAACGAAAAATGGAAATACTGTAGGATGTGGAAATCCCACTCTGAGGCATCCATCCACAGAATATGAAGCCATAGACACAAAACCCCAAACATTCCACAATGTTCACAATGGCAACATTTACAGTAGGTAGGACACGGAAGTGGCCTAAATGTCCACCGACAGATGATTGGATCAGGAAGATGTGGTCTATCCACACCACGGAGTACTCTATAGCCAGGATGAAATGCATCCATTTTCAACAAAAGGATTTGAGAGAATTATGTGCAGCAGAGTAAGTCAAAATGCTAAAACAAATACTGGATATCTATATTGTAAACAAGTCAATAATGTAAAACCTCCTGAGGGCTCTGAGGGTGTGGGGGGAGGGAAAGGGATAAGAGGGACACAAGGGAGGGTGATGGAATAAGTTACAAGTTACTGTATTTTCCATCTCTGACATCTGCCCCAAACTCATATTCCAGCTTCAGGCATACTGAAAGCTCTATTGCTACTTAAAGCATTCCCTATCTAATCAGATCCAGTTCTTTTCAAGTCATCCAGCCATGCATCCATCCAGCCATGCTTCCGTCCAACCATTGCTAACGGAGCACCTTCTAATGACTAGGCACCAGGCCAGGCAGTATATAAGAAAAAACAAAATAAATAATACAGCCCTGTGGGTAACTGCCTCTATGAAGCTCCTTTCTTCACTCAGGAGAAGGGGAAGTCCTGGCAGGTTAAAGGGCAGCACCTGATCACAGAGTCAAGCTTGTTCAGCTCCCCAGCCACAAAGCTACACCAGTCTTGGTCGCTGTGAGTGAAAACTCAGCGACACCTGCTTGCACATATCCAGGTGGCTGCGGGTTAACAAAGCCCACCCTCCCCCCAGCTGCTGCCAGAGACACTGACTGCCCATCACTGGAAGGGAAAACGGGACCTTATAAGCACAGCAGTCCACCAGCAGGTCTAAATGCTAAAATGGTGCCCAGGCCCGGGTGCCCAGCGCCCTGCCGGATGCTGTCCTGTCCTCCACAAATCAGGACCCCCGCAAGGTGGGCCATTTGGTTCTTTGTTGGGAAAAGGGACAGGACGCTGGCTCCTGAGAGCTCAGTTGCCCAAGGAGGTGGGCGAGGGAGGAGGTAGAAGAGCCGCGGGGGAAGTGGAGAGACGAAAGCTTCCCGTCGCTGAGCCGTGGAGTCACGGGGGGGTGGGGGTGGGTGGGGGGGGGAACGCCCAGCAGCCTCCTTCTAGCGGGAGTGGCAACACGGCAGACATCATGCTGTACATGTGTCTCTCTTAGAATCCTAAAGCACCCCAGGCGGCGGCTGCAGACAGGGAAACTGAGGCACAGAGAAGGGAGGCAGCAGACCCAAGGCCACACAAGCAGTAAGCAGCAGAGCTGGGACGAGGACCCAGGCCTATCTGAGGTTAAAAACTGCAACTCCATGATTGGGATTTGAAGGCCCTTTCACTTCCCCTCTAACACCTTTGTTAAGGGCACGTTAAGGGCACGGTTTACTGCCTGCCCTAGGGGGAAGATGAGGAGGCCGAGACTTGGGGTGGGGGGAGCTCCATGGGTGCAAGAAGAAAGGAGACTGGTGCACCTGTGTGTCCAAAGTTCCTTCTCCCCAAATTCCAGATGGCCCTAATGGTGTCACCCACTGATGTCCACCTCAGCCTGACCTCACCTGTTTCATGTTCCCTCCTGGCCTCTCCCCATGGGGACAGGGGGATGAGCTGCCACTCACCTCTGACCTGGACCCAGCCTTTCCTCAACTCCTCCTGCAGCTCAGCCCAAAGTACGGGTCAGAGGACGCCGTGGCTTGTGATTGCCCAACCTGACCAACAGATTTTTTTGGGGTTCAGTTCCCCAAAGGGCTTCAAAGACCCTCCACTGTCTCAGTGACGACACTCCCAGATGCACAAGTCTCATTGGAGTCTTGAGGTCCTTAGGAGGCTCAGCAGCACCAGACTTGGCAGGCCGTGGGGGTCAGCTCACCTGGCCACGTAATGTCCCAGTGTCCTACCTCTGACCTCAGTCCCCCAGAGGCTCTCAGCCTCCCAGCTGCCAGCACCCTTGTCCTCAGCTTCTGATTCCCTCCCGTCCTCCTCTTCCTCCTCCTCTTCATCCTCGGGGCTGCTGTCCATGAAGGTCAGTGTCTTAAGAGAAATGGGGAGCTCCTCAGGCAGCAGACTCAGTCTTAGTGAAAAGGAGTCCGGGTGGGCCCAGGAGGGGACGTCATCTTTCAAGGACTCTTCCTGGGAACCTGTGTCCTCAGAGAGTTTGTCCCCACCCAGCTCTGGGCCAGGCCCCTTCTTGGCCGTATAGCCCGAGGACCCAGCCTCGTCCCAGGAGGAGGAGCCCCCAGTGCTGGGCCAGCTTCTGTCCGAACAGTCCCAAGCAGGAGACTCTTTGACTTGGGCCAGAGGTGTCCCAGGCCCCGCTGGGATCTGGAGTTCCTGGCCCAGGAAGGGGGGTGGTTCAAGATAGGGCTGGACGCGGCCACTGTCATCCTCGTCCTCATCCTCACCCTCGTCCTGGGCACTGCCGTCCGGCCCTGCCTGCACAGGGGCTGGGGCGCGCACCCTCGGGGCCAGCCTGACCCTTCTGGTCAGTTCCTTTGGGGAACAGAGGACCAAGTTATCTGGCCTCTCTGGGCCACAGGGCTGAAAGGTTGCCACGGAGTGTCTGTGTCCAGAGAAGTCCTGATTTGGGGGGTGGAGAGAAGAGAGAAGTCAGGGCCTCCTGAAGTATGAATGTCCGCATTTGGTTCCCCTGGAAACTGACTCTGAGTCAAGGATTTACATGTGAGCAGTTTCTTTGGGGAGTGACCCCAGGACACACCGGGATGGGAGTGGGCAAATGAGATGGGGGCAGGGAGCACCAATAAGAGGCTGTCATGGCAAGCTTGCCTAGGAGCTAAAGCCTGCTAGGGACCTGGGGAGCCAGTGCAGCCCATGGCTCGGAACAGGGGGGTATTTGTTCACCAGGTCCTGCCAGGGGTTGGGGAGGGACGGAAATGTGGGTGACAGGGCTCACTCCCAGGCGCTCCTGCACCCTGCCACGCACAGCAGCGTGGACACTGGAGGCCAGAGCAAGCCCCCAGGACACAGGGGCTGGCTGCTGGGAGCCCAACTGCATCTGTCCAGTAAATGGGAAGGTGGAGGGGCGGGGCAGGGTGCAGACACATCTAACAGAGGTCATCTTTCACTCGTGAGAGTTCCCTGTACATCTAGCACCAGGAGCTTGATTCCCACGTGGCAGGGACACTCTAAATACATCCTCAAAGGTCCCCATGCCCACCAGCCCTCACCAGGGCTCAGCTTCCCTGGCCAGGCCCTTGTCTGAACAAATCTAAGCCATCTGGCCTCTTCAGCCTTCCCCCTGGCCCAGCTGGCCCCTGGGTTCTAAGGGAGTGAGCCAACAGACAAGGGGTGAAATTCTGGGGTCAGCCTGGACAAGACTTGCCATGGTTAAACTGTGAACTCAGAAGTGATGGGGCACTTCTGTGACTTCCCCTTCTGCTGCTACGCTCTCCTCTGTCCCTCTGGTTACCGCTGTTGAGTCCCAAGGCTGGGGGCTCTGCTCTTGGCAACTGACCAATCATTAGCAGAGATGAAGTTACTTAACTAAAAGGGACTTAAGTCAGGTTTTCCTCCCAGGCATACTTGGCTTTAGTTTAATGCCAAAGGAGTGAATTGCTAATGATAAAAATTTAGACTCATAGATAGGGGACGTTTTACAGTCTGGATCACCTTGATATTCCATGTGCAGTACCTCTAAGTCTAGTCTCTCCACCTCTGCCACGCCTTCCCCCCAATTTGCATACCAGGGCCTGTGGCTTCTGTGTCTGCTGGAGCCAGGGGTTCCCTCTGACGCTTTTCTGGATCACACACCTTGTGGCAATGGCCAATGGCACTGGCAGCAGCAGCACCAGGAAAGCCCAGTTGGTTCCTGAGGAAGAAAAGATAGTAACAACCACAGAAGCCACATCAATGGCTCTGGCTATCAAGTGCATATATGCTGGGGATTCACATTGTCCAATTAAAGCCTTAGACTAGGGCCTCTCTGGTGGTGGAAGGGGTAAAGTCTCGGCACTATGAGGCTATCTGCAGCCACTGCAGCAGGAGTTCAATCCCAGGCCAGGGAGGTGACCCACAAGGCGCCGCAGACCTCTCCTGTCTCGCCCACTGCTCCCCCCAGTAGTGTATTTCAGTCAGTCTGCCTGTTCTGTTCCCCACTCTGTCTTTGGCGAATCCTCTCACCCTCTGTGACACTGGTCTATGCCCCAGTTCTTGTATACATAATTAAATAAATCTTAAAAAAAAAAAATACTTAGAATAAACCCATCCTACAGATTGTGGAAACCAATGTTCAGAGAGGTTATGTCAGCTCCTCAAAGACACAGAGAATGTGGTGGATCTAGGGTTATAATTAAGGTGACTGTGTTTCTTGACTCATGTTCCTTTTTTTTTTTTTTAAAGATTTATTTATATATTTATACAAGCACTGGGTACAGTCAGAAGCATGGGAGGGTGAGAGAATTCTCAGAGTCAGAGTGGAGAGCAGAGCAGGCAGATGGACGAAATACACTGCTGAGGGGAGCAGCGGGCGGCAGGAGAGGTCTGCGCGCCATGTGGGACCCTCGCCCGGTGGCCGGGGATCGAACCGGTGCTACAGAGGCTGCGGGCAGCTTCACAGCCCAGTGCTCAACCACTGCGCCACCAGGGGAGGCCCTTGACTCATGTTCTTAACCACCATATAATGAAGATCCCGAGGCCCAGGGAAAAGCCCTCGCTTCTCTACCATGTTGCACCCACCTGAGGCCTCCGTCGAGAAGCAGGTGGAGTTGGAGAACTGGCTGTATTTGGAGTCAGCATAGGTGTAGATGGTTCTGGCACTGAGGCAGTAGCTTTCATCAGTGGTCGGCTGGAGGGGGATCTGGACCGGCTGGCCATGGGGAGTGATCGGGAAGGGGGTCTGTTTGGAGAGAAGCAGAGGGAAGCCGACCTGCTATGGGGGTGGGCTTCACACAGCCAGGCGGGGGCGGGGATGGCAGACAGAATACACCTGTGATCCCCGCATCTTTTGCACTAAAGTCCAAGCATTAAAGGAACACTTTCCAACTGTAGGGTAAGTGAAAAAGCATCAGGCTTTTCTGCCCTCCCGCCATTAGGATTGATGATGGATCCTTGTGGTCCTGAATGCATGCCTGATGGCGGGCACTGGAGTAGGGTGTGGGCATATGTAGATGGGATTCACCTGGGCTGAGACTGGGCTTGTAAGGGCGGCGTCATGGGGAGGCCAGCAGAGAGAACCACGAGGAGAGTGGGGAGCAGAGAAACAGAGAACACAAGAGAAGGCCGGAGAGCCCAGAAAGAGTGAAGACTTGCTGGGGGCTGGGAGGCCTGCCAGCCTCCTGGCCCGCCATGTACCTGGTAAATCCCAATAAAAGCCTGCAAAAGCCACTGAGGGCTCCAGGACTCTCTCTCTCCTTTGCCCGTCTACTCGGGTCATTGAGATCCTGCACTGTGCCCTTCTTGCCATTACACCAACACTCCTGGGTTTCTTTTCCACTGAGTCTCTTGGGCTCCAAGCACGAGTGTAAAGGCCAGGAATGGACACAGTGCAGGTTTTCTAATATCCAGCAGACCGGATAAAGGAGGCGTCAGGGTCCTCAGTGGTTTTTTCAGGTCTTTTATTGGGGTTCACCAGGCATATGGCAGGCAGGGGTGCTGGGGTGCTGCAGGGCTGGGGGGCCTGCCAGCCTCCCAGCCCCCAGCAGGTCTTCACTCTTATGGGCTCTCCGGCCTTCTCTCAGCTTCTGCTTCGGCTTCTTGGTTTCTCTTTTGGCTTCTGTTTGTTCTTGGCTTCTACTAGAGTCCCCGTGACGCCGCCCTTAAAAGCCCAGTCTCAGCCCAGGTGAATCCCATCTACCTATGCCCACACCCTCCTCCAGGTGCCCGCCATCAGGCATGCATTCAGGACCGCAAGGATCCATCATCTATCCTGATGGCGGGAGGGCAGAAAAGCCTGACATTTTTTCTTTACCCTACAACGAGATACACACTCTTTCAAAAGCGAAGCAAAAAAAAAAAAAAAAAAACTCAACAAAATATTCCTACATTATACAGTGAAACAACATTCTAATGAATGAAATACAATCTATTAAAATTACATTCACCTGTTTCTTCTGACCTAAAGTGGAGCACTTGAAATGACACACATGGCTTGCACTGTATTTCTATGGGGGGCGCTGCTCTAGAATATTTGAAAGGTTCTGGAAGGCAGGGACCATGTGGCATGAAGTTCTGTAGCCCTGGGAGCCAGAGTTCACAGAGGTCAGGAGTGTGAGTGCTGGGGAAGTAGAGGAAGAAATGAGCGAGAACAGGGGTCAGTGGGCCACGGCCGGTGGCCCAGGCAGGGCCTGCTGTCTTGCTGGGTACAGTTTTCCAGGACACAGCTCTGCCCATTCATTTGCCAGTTGTCTAAGGCTCCTCTGGCGTTACATCTGCAGAGTTAAGTTGCTGAGATGGACCACATGATCTGCAGAGCCAAAAATATTTACTAGCTGGCTCTTTACACAACACGTTTGCCAACCCCTGCCACAAATACACACACATACACACGCGCGTGCACACACACGTCTGAAATGGATATATACCAAGGACTGCTTTGTGGTCACTTCAGGGTACTTAGGGTTTTCTTCTGACAACTTATCTGTATTTTCGGGTTTAATTGTAATGAAGCTGGTGGCTTTGCCAGTGGGCCTCCTGAAGCCCATCATACAGATTTTAGCAGGGAAAAAAAAAGATTTCATAATGAAAAAATATTAGGCAGAAACCTGCTGAGCTGTTACCACTTGTAACACACATGGGCAGGATGCCCTGCACTTGGCCTCTTAGGTGGAGAAGGGCAGGGGTAGGCCACAGGTCAATCACAACTGTGCAGAGCCAGGCGATGACTGTCAGGAGGGAGGAGTATGCTGGGAAGGCTTCCTGGAGGAGGTGTGCAAGGAGCAGGCTGGGAGGATGAGGAGCACTAAGGTCTGATGGGGCAGTGAAGGAGGGAACTCAGCCTGGGGGCAGGAAAGGGGCTTCTCACCTTGTTTTCACTCCCCTCTTTCCAGAAAGCCACCTCATATTTCAAGTCTGATGGAGGCATGCAGTGGGGCAGCTGGTATGTGGCATTGATGCTCAGGAACTCCTTTGTCCTAGTGACTACCAGGACAGGTGGGGCCGGCTCCACTGGCAGAAACAGAACAGGACCAATCAGAACCTTCTGGGGGCCACCAAGGGTCCATTCCCCTACACCTCACCCAGCCCAGAGAACTCTCCTGGAAAGGAAAAAGCACACTAGGGTTGGCCAAACTCTTGATACTAAGCATCAAGAGTTCTGTGACCACTTTATTTAAATACAGCAGTGATCCTGGGAGGGAGCTATCACTACTCTCATCTGTAGATGAATCTTGGAGAGGTGAAAGGACCAGGGCAAGTTCACAGGGAACCTGCTTTCACTCCTATCACCCCTTCCCCTGGTGGTGCTTTGCATATCACTGGCCTGTCAGAATCCTGCCCCCCGTATGAGTTTTCCATTGCTGCTGTAACACATTATAACAAATTTAGTGACTTAAAACAACACAAATTTGTTATCTCACAGTCTGTAGGTCAGAGTCCAGGTGGCCCCGACACGGCCTCTCTGGTCTTGAAAGGACAAAGCTGGCTGGCCTGGGCTCTTATCTGGAATTCCTCAGGAGAACTTGCTTCTTTCACTTGTTGGCTTAGTCCCGCTCCTGGGACTATGGGACTTGCGGGCTGTTAGCTGGGGGAGTGTCTCAGTACCTGCAGCACCTACATTTCCTATCACATGGCCTATCACAGCACCTACATTTCCTATCACAGGGCCTCTACCTCCAAATCGGAAATCCTTCTCATTCTTCAAATCTCTGATTTTCCTTTCTTTTAAATCTCTTCTGCCTCCAGCTGCATAGAGTTCTCTGCTTTCAAGGACTTGTAGTATTAATGTGGGCCACCCAAAATAATCTCATTATTTTAAGGTCTATGAACTTAGCTAAATTAAGGTTTTTTTGCCATGTGATTTTTTAAAAGATTTATTTATTTATGCATACAAGAACTGGGGTGCAGACTAGAGGTGCAGAGGGTGAGAGGATTCACCAGAGACAGAGTGGCGGATCTACTGAATTACACTGCTAAGGGGAGCAGTGGGCGTGACAGGAGAGGTCTGCTGAGCCATGTGGGTTGCGGGTTGCTCCCTGGCTGGCGGGGGTTGACCTTGTGCTGCAGTGGCTGGTGACAGCTTCACAGCGCTGTCTTTAACTGCTGCGCCACCAGGGAGGCCCTTGCCATGTAATATTAACATCTAACATAGTCACAGGTTCCAGGGATGACTAGGCATGAGTATCTCTCGGGGGGGCAACCTGCCTGTCATGGTCCTCTCTCCTATTCATGCCTCTCTGAAGTGCAAAATATATTCATTCCACCCCAAAGCTCCCCCAGATCTCATGTCATCCCATTACAGCATCAATTCAAATTCTCAGATTTATCATCTAAAGTACTCAAATCCGGTTGAGATGGGTATAATCCATTTAGTACAACACCTGGGGCACAATTCCCATTCATTTGAGGACCAGTGAAACTAAAGAACAAATTATCTGCTTCCAACATAAAATGAGACAAGCATCAGATACAGTTACAGATATTCTGGTTCTAACAGGGAGCAATGAAAGGTAAAAAGGAGTCACTGATCCAAAGCAGTTTTGAAATCCAGCCAGGTCAACTCCATTAGGATTCTGGGAACATTCCTCCTTGGCTCCTAGCATCACTTTCCAGGCTCTTGGCTCCTTCCCTGAATCATTCTCCCTTTTTCATGAAAGGTAACACATATTTGCAGTTAAATAATTTAAACAGCCTGCTTCTTAAGCCAGTAGATATTGGGGGTCTAACAGCTTTCAATGCATACTCTATATCCTTTTAGTTCAGCTGGCAGTGGTTCTGCTCATACAAAGTTCTCAGGAACTTTACAGGTCTCTTGTGGATGTCATGGAAATAAACTCCCGCAGACAGAAGCCATGTCCACAAATCTTTTTGAGATAGTTGCTAGCACAGCAGTGCCACTGAGCCAAGCTCCTGGACAGAGAGCCTTCTGCAGACTTACCATCAAAAAGGTATTCCAGGGACATAGATTCCACCCAGTGGGATCTGCCGATGGGAGAAGATGCCCGCACACGTGCCTTGACCTTGTTGAACAGGTCCAGTTTCTCCTCACACATCAGAGAACATTCCAGTTCTTTGGTTCCTGTGCAGTTCTTCACTTTTCGCCACTGTTGAAATACTGGAGGGCTGAGGAAGGAGACAGGAGACCTTGAGCCGTGGACTCTGCCTCTAGAAACACGGGCACTTAGAGAACACAGTCGATTCAGTCCCTCGGTCTCCCCAGTCAGCTACCCATCATCCGAGAAAGAAAGAATAGTCTAGTTACAAGTTAAAGCTCTGGAGTCCTGGCTCTGTCCCTCCCTAGTTCTGGGATTTTATGTTGATCATCGTCCTTAAGCCTCAGTCCCATCTCTTATGCCCTTCCCAGGACTGCTGTGGCTGCTACTGCTTGGACTAGTAACCACCTGCCACACGTTTATATACATCAACGCATTTATGGGCCACCTGCAATAAGCCAGGTACCATGCTGGGTGATGTGTTGCATGTCTAAGGGGAACTCACAGGTTCCTGACTCCAACCTCCTGAGCACACTGAGGGCCAAAGAAGAGACCTGCATGCTGGACATCATTCCTGAGGCTCAGCAGTGCAAGACAGTCCTGGTCCTGCCCTCAGGAATAGCACGCTGGTGGAAGGGGGATGAGAGACCATCATCACACCAAGCAGATAAGATTTACCAGGAGCTGGTAAATGCCGTGATCTTAGGGTAATGTGGAAGTGCCTGCTTTCCAAAGGCAACTCAGGCACAGACCAGGAAGACAGTGTTGAAACAGGATGCAAGGATGAGGAGAAGCCAGTGAAGGAAAGGACCAGCAAAGGAAAGAACTAGACTTGGCCAGAAAAAACCAAGGCGGTCATTGTGGGCAAAGCCCAGTGCAAGGTTGGGGAGAGCGGTGGAGACTGGAGAAAGAGTGGGGGGGAGTAGGTCTGATAAGATTCTGGGTTTTGTGCCAGGAATGCGTTCTAGTGTTTAGTAGTGAGCAGTTAAAAGTGATAAACTGGGCTATTTAGTTGAGTCGACGTCTAAGCCAAGTGTTGAAGACGTGTCCTGGGTTTTCCCACTGCTAACAGTAAACTGAAAGAGGAGGGAGACAGAAGGACTTGTTAAGCAGTAGGAAATCAGAACTTTTGAAGATTTAGAAAAGACTGTTACCTCAAGAGTCACTGAGTAGGGCCTCCCCGGTGGTGCAGCGGTTGAGCGCTGGGTTGCGAAGCTGCCCGCAGCCTCTGCAGCGCTGGTTCGATCCCCGGCTGCTCCCCGGCCACCAGAGGAGGGTCCCGCATGGCGCGCAGACCTCTCCTGCCGCCCGCTGCTCCCCTCAGCAGTGTCCTTCGGTCCTTCTGCCTGCTCTGCTCCCCGCTCTGGCTCTGGTGAATCCTCTCACCCTCCCGTGCTTCTAACTGTACCCAGTGCTTGTATAAATAAATAAATAAATCTTTAAAAAAAAAAAAGTCACTGAGTAGAGTAAGTTTTAACGGATTGAAACTGTTAGACATGTCAATGTTTGTGTTCATAATGATAATTTTAAAAAGCCTTGATCACCTTTGGGAGATGATAAGGAACCATTTATTTCCTTGAGAACTGGTAAAAAAAAAATGAGCATTTACTTTATCTTGCCTATTTGAATGGTACCACTGACTATGAAATAGTACGGGAGAGGAAACATCTCTTTATAAGGTTATTCCAACAGTATCACCATTTGGTAATCCTCACAGGTGTGCAAAAATGTAAAGAGCAGGAGAGCACATGGGTCCAGAGGGTGCACTTTCGACTCTTTAACCAGTTTTACTCAGCCCCACTATCTGCGGCTGTGTGACGTGGAGCAAAATCCACTCCTGCCGCTTCTGCTTCCGCAGTGAGGTGGAGCCACTGACCCTTCCTACGTGAATACATTTAACATTGGCCCAGTGCCGATACACAGCAAACACACAGTGCATGATAAAGTTCTTCTGGAAGGTGCTGTCCTTCCTCAGACCTGGTCCCCACAACTCATCTCTGGGTGCTACAGACCAGGGTCATGATGGGACAGGAAGAGCACAGTCCTGGGGCCAGAGAGACTTGGGTGTTTTCTGGCTCCATCACTGGCTTTCTTGGGCCAGTCGCAGCACCTCTCCCAGCTGTTTCCTCATCTCCAAGCTGGAGAAAATGCAGTGCTAGCCTGGTGATTCTGGGAGGAAGAAGTGAGGTACAGCTGACCCAGGAATAATCGGGCCTTGAACTGTGAGGGGCCACCTTAGATGCCTTTTTTTTTTTTTTTTTTTTTAAATAGAGTTGGCCTCCAAATCTAGGTTCTGCATTCACAGATTTGATGAAGCCCAGGCGTCGATTGGTTGAATCCTAAAGGAAAAGGAGGGCCATAACTCTAAGGGACTTGAGCATCCTTGGATTTGGGTATCTGAGGGGGAGCATCAAAACAATTTCCTTATACTCAGATTTTTGATAGTGACCCTAAGCTCCCACCTTGCTCCAGGATCAACCGTATCCAGGCAAGGCCTTAGCACCGGGCCACCTGGGGGTGGGGATTGAGTGCTCAGCTGTTCCTGTCCTTTCCTGCTTCCTCCTGCTCATCAATTCTAGAGCAATCCTCCTGAGTGTCTGCTTTTATCATCCTACTCTCCTGCTAAAGAGCTTCAAGTGAGTCTCATCTATGTGCAAAGATGGCAAATCTGTTTCCATTTCTATTTTTATTTATTTTTTAAATTTTTTAAAAGATTTATTTATTTATGCAAACACTGGGTACAGTCAGAAGTGCGGGGAGGGTGAGAGAATTCACCAGAGCCAGAGCGGGGAGCAGAGCAGGCAGACTGACGAAGTACACTGCTGAGGGGAGCAGCGGGCGGCAGGAGAGGTCTGCGCGCCATGTGGGACCCTCCTCCGGTGGCCGGGGGGCAGCCAGGGATCGAACCAGTGCTGCAGAGGCTGCAGGCAGCTTCACAACCCAGCGCTCAACCGCTGCGCCACCAGGGAGGCCCCGTTTCCATTTTTAGATTCCTCTGGATTTGGAGTGGCTGCCTGCTGAGTTGGGAAGGAAGCCAAGGCTCCGGGGAGGCTCCGTGGGGAAAAGGGCCACCTTCTAGTGAAGCCCAACACAGGTTCTGTTATTGTGGGAGGGACCCCCAGTCTCTCATCCTGGCCCCCATCATGGAAACCTCACAGCTCCACTTGAGCCCTACTCTGGCTGTTCTCAACCACCCACCCCACCCCTGGCAGAAATGTGCAGTTTTCCATTCAGCATCATTCCCACCTCCAGACCTTTATCAAATACCCTCTCCAAGCACCTGCCACATGTGGCCGTGGGAATCAGAGCAGCAGAGGGCAGACCACACCAAACGCAGCTATCTCAGGGAACACTCCCTGGCCCCTGCCCACCCCCTCGGGCTCCTGGCCCCATTAGCTGGGAGAGTCCTCTCTACCTCTTATAATTCACAAAATAGGTCACATCCTCAGGGTTGCCAGGTCCTGGGAGCCACGTCAGGTACATGTTGAAGTTCCGGGAGAAGAGCGTCACATTCTGGGGAGGGGCCAGACGGGGCTTCCCTGTGGGGGAGAAAGAGGTCATGAAGTCTAGAGCTCCCAGCTGGTCTGGCATGGGCCATTCGGAGCTGAAGTGTGGCATGTGGGGTTGAGTTTAAAGACACAGGAAATACCTGGGGTGGCAGAAGCATGGGGGGGGGGCAGGGTGCAGGTTGTGAATGTGGGGGTCAGGATTACAGTCATAGCCAAGCATCTACTGACTGCTTTGCAGCTCCTTCCCCTCCCCAGGACTTAGTGGCCCACCTGGAAGTTCCTGCTCATGCTGGTACCTGAAGTTCCAGTAGGACCTGCAGAACAATGGACCCAGTTCTCCTAGACTCTAAGAGGGAATGGCCCTGAGGGTCTCAGGGGGCAGGACCTCTGTCTTGTTGTCAGCCATGTCCCCAGAGCCTGCCTGCTGTGGTTCCCAGCACGCACAGTAAATACTTGTTGAGTGAATGAATATTGTGAGAACTGGGATTATTCTAAAGGCCTCCAACTGCTTCCAACCTTTCCCCTCAATCCATTCTTCATATAGCAGCAAAGGTTAAGGTGAAAATCAGGTCATGTGCATCTTGTAAAACCCTCTAATGGCTTCCTTTTCATTCAAGGTGAGATCCAAAGTCTCCCCCAACCCCCACAGGACTCTACCCAATCTGACCTCTCCCCCTGCTCCCTCCTCTCCAGCCACACTGGGCTTTTTGCTGTTCCTGGGGCACGCTGTGCATGCTCACACTCTAGGCCTTTTCATGCACAAGCTGGTCCCTCTGCCTAGATGTGCCTCCTGAATATCCATCTGGCTCACTCCTTCACTTCGTCACATCTCTGCTCAGATGGCATGGTCTCTCAGTGACGCTTTATCTGGCCCTGCTTCCATTCCTCGGCATTTCCTCATTCCCACTGTAACCCTCGTTGTCTGAAATATGCAGATCCATGCCCTTCCCTTGCCTTCAGAATAAAGTCCATGCTCCTTATCGAGGTACACAAGGCCCTACCCGCCTTGGCCTGGTGGAGCCATCTTAACTTCTAGTAGCTTCCCATGAGCTCACTAGGCTGCAGCCAGCTTCCTTCTCATTCTAGTTGGCAAACCATTACAATCTTTGAACTCAGGTGTCTAACTACTTGGTGTCCATCATCTCATCTTTTAAACACTTGATTCAAATGTCACTTCCTCCAGGGAGTCTTCCCTGACATCTCTAGGAAGTGGTGGTGATGATGCTAACAATGGTGGTGGTGGTGGTGGTACTAATGATAGCAGCTAGTGTGTCTTAGGTCCTAACTATGTCCCAGGAACTATGCCAAGCACTACGCCTGCATTGTATCATCTTCCCCAAAGTTCCTAGGAGCTAGGTACTAATTACAATCATCACATTATAGATGAGAAAATTGAGGACTTCTCAGCTAGTAAGCTGTAGAATCAGAATTCAAATCCAGGCCTCGCGTAACTCCAGTCTCAGCTTCGGACCACACTTCCTCTTTTAGGTTTGCACGGGGCCTGTTCAGCTTTATTCTTTCAACATCCATTTATTTCAGTGTGCCAGAGATTTCAGCATGGAACACAAGCCCATTCTTGTCCTTTAGGAGTTCATAGTCCCATGCTAATTTCATTTTGTAAAGTGTCACAGCGGCCACGATGGAATCTGTACAAGTTATAGAATGGCACAGGGAGGGAAGGCCAGTTCTACTAATGGCCCTTGACCCAGCTCCACACCCCTAACCTTTGAGACCCAAATGTGGGTGCATGCTTCTACCCTATCCTGGGTCCTCTCGCTGGAACTGGATTACCTGGTTGCTGATGCTGTTCACTGCTCCCAGTTTTTGGACTTTGTAGCAGGCGACCAACTGGAGGCCAAAGTCAATAAGCATTTGTGAGGTATCTTGAGGGCAGATCAGGCCTCAAAGCCTGAGGTTGACTACAGTGGATATATAGCAACTAGGGTAGCTACGCTCTACTGAGCCTTCAGAGGGGGCCTGACATCAGTTTGGCAGTAACCCAAATTTCACTCGGCCCTCAGGACAACCCCACTATGGGGTAGGTGTCATTCTTCATCTATGGAGGGGCACAGGCTCGGAGATGGCCAGATGGGAAATAATTTGACATTGTCAAGTCTGTGTGGGAACCAGGATTTGAACTTGAATCTGGCTGCACTTCACCTTCAGATATCACGCCAGTTTGTGTAGTGTCCATAAACTGTCCCTTGGGTGAAAGTATCAACGCAACAAGGTCTAGACAGGAAAACTATTGAATTTGACAGTGAAACAGGGGGACAAAAGATGCTCTATCCCCCTCCCCACTCAGGCCCACTGTCCCTCATCAACTGCAAAAATGGTCCCCGCTACAGTGTCAGGGGCTGGGACATCGCTGAGTTGACTTAAGTGGACAGAACCCTGCTCTAGCTGCCCACCCCAAGGCCAAAGCTGGCAGGCCTGTTTCAGCCTGTCTTCTCTCTTCTGCGTGTTTCACCTCTGCCTTCCTTCTTGGGAACTTCCCTTCACTGCTCTGAGCCTCAGTTTCCCCATGTGAAAAGGGAGAAAATAAGACTTGCCTCATAGGAGGGCTGGGTCTTCATGCTGAGATGGAATATTGAGGTACCCAGCACAAAAAGGTTGCTCAAGAAATTTTGCTTTTTAATATTATTACTAGATTATGTCCCAGAGCCTCTCCAGCTCTTAAATTGTGAGTCTAAGTAAGACTAGGAAGATATCCTTGGGGTAATTTCCTGAGCTTCTCTCACAATTGGTTGGGGCTTATAGCTGGATCTTAACCGGAGTTTTCAGCACCCTGTCAATGGATTTCTGGGGCTGAGGGGGGTTCTCAGGAAAAAAAAAATCACTTGTTAGAAAGACAGCAGACAGAAGGCCAGGTGAGGACAGAGCTCCAGCCTCCCAGGCCGGACACCTCCCGAGGAGAGAACCGGAGCCCCGGGGCTTCGCCGACCTCCCGCCTGGGAAGGGTCTAGCGTGTCCGCGCACAGCGGGCAGAGCTTTTAGGACATCCCCGAAAAGCACTTTATCAATCAATGCCCCTTCTTTGAAAACTGTCTCTCTCCCCCTGTGCTCGCGGCGCTGAGCTGGACTCAGGGAAGGGAATCAGCTTCCTCTCCTGAAGGAATTTAAAGCTCGGGTCTGTGTCGCGGAGAAAGGCTCCGGGGGCCACGGGCGGGGCGCCCCGGGCCCCGCGGGGTGGCCGCGGGCGGGAGGGTGGACGCCCCGGAGGGTGGCCGCCCCGGCCGGAGCCCCCGCAGCGCGCCCCGGCGCCTTACCTGAGGCGGACTGCAGCAGCCACAGCAGCAGCGGCGCCCACGGCCCGACCCCGGGCATGGCGGCGCGTCCGCGGCCGGCCCGGCGGGGCCCCCGCCCGCCGCGCGCGCCTCGGCCCCCCAGTCCACCGCGGCCAGGTGACTCGGCCCGCAGCCAATGGGAGGCCGCGCCGCGGGCCCGCCCCTCGCGCCCGGGACTCCACCTGGGCTTTCCCCGAGAACGCCCCGAGAGAGGCGGCGCCCCGCCCCAAGAGCAAACTCGGGCAGCCCCGCGCCCGGCCCAGGTTGTGCTCCTCCCGCGGGGGGCGGGCGGGGTGTGGAAACAGTACGTCTGTGGGTTTTTTTTTCGGGGGGGGATGAAGGGATAGGGGGAAATTAGTATTAATACCCAAGATGCGAATTTTTTAAAAAGATTTTTTATTAGTTATCTTTGCATAGAAGAGCTGGGGTGTGCGGGGGGGGGGGGGGCGGAAGGGGGATGAGATAATTCATCAGAGACAGAGTGGGGAGCAGAACAGGCGGATCTACAAAATACACTGCTGAGGGGAGCAGTGGGCGAGACAGGAGAGGTCTGCCGCACCATGTGGGTAGCTCCCTGGTGGGGGAGTCAATTCAGGCAGTCCGTGGTTGTAGCACTGAGACTTAACCTCTAGGCCAACAGGGATGACCCCCAAGATGCGACTTTTTAACAAGACTAAGCGAAGAGTTGGGGTAAGTGTAACACAATCTCAGATACCTGCAGTGGAACCCGAGCCTGGTCAATGTACTCAGCCAAGCACGTACCTGCATGCTTCCCCTCGAGGAGTTGGCACTCGGCCTGTCCTGTTACTCTCTACAGGTGCTGGCCGTGGCCTCCAGAGCTGCGCGGGCTTGCTGCGGAGAAAGCTGGTCCCTCTAAAACCAAAGCCTGTGGTGGCTCGTGTGAGCTGTGCAGTAATTGCTTTCAAATCATGATACCAACCAGGATTTCTGGGGAATAGTCTACAGTCATGACAAAGGATGTTGCAGAAGCATAGGTAGTGACTCAAGATATAACACACGCAGTAGCAGAAGATATCAGCCCTTCTAGAAATGTACGTCTGTAGGTATAGATACAGACCTGGGGGCATCTGTACCAATAGGTTTACAATTCTTATCTTCGGGTGGTGAGGAGATATAATCTCTCTCTCCACACACATGCACACACATATTTTTTTTTGTGCATGTTTAATTTTCTTAGTACTTCAATGATATATAATTCCAACAAGAAAAGTCACTTTTACCCTAAAAATAATCATAGCTCACTTATTAATTATGTTAGTTTCTCTCTTTGTATTGCACTTGCCTCCTCATACAAATGAGGAACTTGTCATTCTGAGACTGCTTCTGCAGGGGCTGGGTTCTGGATTCGGCCCAGGCCTGTCTCACCCTATGGCCACACTGCCTCAGGGGAACTGTTCTGCTCACTCCCCAGGTGTCAGCCATGGGCTGGGACTGGTGGTCAGTTGTTACCAAGCCCACGATCTAGGACCAGATACAGCAGAGAGAATCCTAGGGCTCATCTCTGCTGCATATGTTGGTCTCAGCTGGGATCCAGGAGTTCTTGGGAGAGAGAGAATGCATTTTCACAGAGCTTGGTGAGTCCCAAAATTGCCCTGAGTTTGGCTCTGGGCACAGACATTTTGAAATTTCAGGATGGTTTGCTATTTGTATCATGCCTTCAGCTCAACCAGCATTTCTTCAAAGGACTCACAGAGGCCACGTTTGGACCTCAAGGGCAAGGCGATGAGAGAGGCCCTTGTGGGAGGCACATTCACGCATCTTGGAATTACCCTGAAACTGAGACTTCATCCAAGCAAATGCAGCTCTTTCAGATGCAGGAACCCACTGAACTGGGAGCTGGGGTGTCTTACTTTGCCACCTGCTCCACCTGCTTGATGCCTGTGAATGGGGCACCTTCTTTTTTTTTTTTGACAATGTATGCTACAGGCTCCTGGCTCCCTTACCCATCCAGCCCATAATTTCAAATTTGGAAATTGTGTGTGTGCATGCCTTGGTACATCAACATGTGAGGACATTTGGTGACCATAAACACCGACAAGTTGCATCATCTCTTAAAGTCTTTTAAAAAGTTGTCTTGGCTGCAGGTCACAAATCTCAGCAGTTCCCATAACCTAGCCCCAACATAGGTCTTTTGTGCCATTTCAGCTTCTTTCAGGTATCTCAAATACTGATAATAAATCCACTCTGGAATAAAACAAGCATGTCTCTACTGAGGTTTTTTTTTTTCCCTAAAACCACGTTCAGTATCAACAACTTTTAAAATTTACTAAGTCTTTCTGGTGCAGCAGGCACTCTAGTTGACATATATTATAGTATTTAATCCTCAAAACCACCCCATGAGGGTATTAATATTCCCTGTTAATAGATATAACTCCTAGAGCTTACCCAAGTCACACAGCTAATTACAGACAGGGCTGAGGTTTCGACCTCAACCTGGCTGTGCTCACAATCTGTGGGTTTGAAACTTCTGCTACTCAGCTTCAGATGGTTAAGGGCAGACAAAAACCAAGTGTTTCAGTTTCGATCCCTTCCCGATTTGCAAAGATCACAGCATGAAACTCTCATGAGCACTAGAGGTTCGGTCTCCTCTTTGAATTGAATATTAGGTAAGCAGCTGTGTCGGTAAATGCCTAACAAATGGGTCTCTGGGGCCAGGGTCAAGAACTACTTGGTAGCGCCCAGCCAGCTACCTCCACCAGGTCAATTTCAACATGAAGTCATGGAGAACAGAGTAGGGAAGAGATGTACACAATTTGCCCTCCCAAACTTGTACCAGTTGGCACCAGCTCACCATAGGGTGGAAGAATCATAAAAGAAATTTTGGATGTTTGGAACAAGCCACATCTCAAGTCCTAAGCAGCCTGTAGGGCTCTTGTTGAAAGTCGGTTTCACAGCAAGAGGCTCAAGACCTCTTGACGGTAGGGGGCGCTCTTCCACCACTGCCTCCACGATGAAGCACCTTTGGAAGCTCACCTGCACTTCCTGGGCCCAAGCCACACTGAGCAACTCCTCCCTTTTCCCCTCACCTCTCTTCTCCACCTCTTCCTTTCCCCTTCCCATTTCTCTTTCCTCCCAGCCCTTTCAAACACTGTATTCAACATTTCCTTCCTAGACTTACCTCCCCTGTGGTCTTATAGTCAGCCTCAGCTCATTTGTTATTTTCTCTGGAAACTTCCTTAACCCTTGACTGCTTTGTTCCACATGTGTCTCCGTGGTAGCATTTAATCACCATTTCATAGAAATGATTTCTCTCTCTGCCTCATATATCCTCAGGACTTGGCAGACTGTACTTATTCAATGAAGATTAAGTAACAGGCCTTCAATGTCTGGGTTTCAGTCAAACATACTTCTGCATGCCCCAAAACATCTCAGCCCCACTCCCAGGCCTTACGTATTTGACCCCGCTAGCTAAGTTTACTAAATGCTTAGTACATGTTTAGTAAGTGTTTACCGAGCTGAACTTGGCATGTGACTCATACTTAAAAGGCTCCAGTGTCCCTTCTGAGAGTATGACTTCACAGCTCCCCTCCCCACATAGATGGGACTGTGCAATTACACCCAGTCCACAGGCCCTTAGAATAACATGCAATAATGAGTAAAGGGGAATGAAACTGTATTCCTGTGTCGGGATTCACAGCCTCTCCCTCTCCTCTCTGGGCTGGCGAAGGATCCAGCTAGATTAGGAGGATGCATTTGGAAAGGGCAGCAGAGGAGGGCAAGAGAAAGTGCCAACAGGATTGGGCATTTGGAGAAGAAAGCAGCAGACTTGGATAAGAGATGCGTGAAAACAGAGAAGGCAAACTATAAAACTTCTGGAATTCCTTTTGGCATTTTTAAAGAGACAGAAAAGATTTTAAATGATTTGAAACTCTTATTTCGACTCTTGTTTTTCTTGCAACTGTTCTTTCAGCGTGAAGTGTGGAGAGAGGCAGGCCTTGATATAAGAGCGAGACAGCACATTTTATATGGTAGTGTCATTTAAGACTTTACCAGTGGCAAGAACAGAGACCCAACCTGTCCAAAGCAGAAAGGGGATGCTATAAACTTGCCAGAATGGGAAACTCAAGGGTAGTGTGGCTAAGATTCCAATTGGTGCCTGTGGGTCACAAGCCATCCCACGAGCCAATCAGTGTGGTCAGGGACAATGAGCTACTTTCATTGGCCAGTCTGGGTAGTACACCCATCCCTGGAGTGGAAGGGGTCAGCTCTGGTTGAGGTCCCTCAATCACCAGTAGGCAAGAATTGGTTGTTCCCCACCCCCAAAGAATGGATGCTGCACAGACAAAGGAAACATACCCTTTTGACAGAGGATGACATGTGCAGAGAACTCACAGATTATCCACACCAACTTCCCACCCTAAAAGTCTCCCCAAAATCCTGGAGCAATGAGCATCTTGATGCTACTTGGGCTGTCAATTCTGTTTCTTAACAGTTGCAGTTAGGAACATCCCCCTTAAGTTGACCTACGTCCTTGTAACTTCCCCCTATCATCTAGTCTTTCCTTTTGGGGCCTCACAGAATAAAATAAAGTTCTCTCTAGGTCAACCTTTCAGATGTTAAGTTCTTTGAGTCCTTCTTATCAGATGTCACTCTTGTCAGCCCTCCCTCTGCCTTTAGTGGCAAGAAAGGATGCTCTGGGAGTGGGTGTACACTTGATCACTTTGCAGATGAGAATGCTGCTATGGGTGGGAAGGTTTGTGTCCCTCCAAATTCATCAGTTGAGGTCTTAACCCCCAATGTGATGGTATTAGGAGGTGGGATCTGTGGGAGGTGATAAGGTCATGCAGGGGAGCCCTCAGGAGTGGGATTAGTGCCCTTATAAAGACAAATGTGGATCTTTTTTTCTCTCCACCCTGTTGGGTTACAGCCTGATGTCTGCAAGGAAATGTTTGCTTTCTGCAAACCAGGAGGAGTGCTTTCACCAGGCTGCATGTGGGTAGAGAGTGAGAGCAAGAGAGACAAGACAGAGAGAGACAAGAGACAGGGAGAGACAGAGACAGAGAGACAGAGAAAAGCAGG